CTTCACACCAGAACTTTAAATGTATCTTTTCATTGTCTTCTGGCTTCTATCATTTCTGATGAGAAATCAACCATCGGCCTTATTTTTTATAACTCAGTACAACAACATCAGCAAATGAACAATAAAATATTATTTAATCTATTAATCTTCAAAGTTCACCCACTCTCTCACCAGTATTTAGAGCAAAATTTAAAAAATTCCTGGCCTGGGATCCACACACTGCATTCGGTTTTCGTGTCTCTCCGGCGCCCTCTGACCCGGAGCAGCCCCACCGCCCGCGGCTTTCACGGAGCCGTGCCGCCAGCCGCGGCACAGAAAGTCCCTCCTTTGGGGTTCGTCTGGTGTCTCCTCCGGTTAGATTCAGGCTACGCACTTCTGACGGGATCACCACGGAAGGGTGCTGTGCCTTTCCCCATGCATTCTGGCAAGGGCACATGGGATCCATCAGGCCCGTTCCCCGTGGTTATTCCGTGTCTGCCGGGTTTCTCCATGGCAAATGACTATTTTTTTCCTCTCTGTAGTTAACAAGTAATTCGGGGGGAGGTACCTGTAGTTAACAAGTAATCTGAGCACTCTGTTCTCAACACACACACACACACACACACACAAACCAGAATAAGACCCCCAAACGTTCACCCATGAGTTTGTTTTATCACCTGCCGATGCTTCGAGCCCAGGGAAGTCATTACTGCGGTGGCTGTCAAACAGCTCCTCGGGCGTGGCCTTGCAGGGCTTTCAACGCAAAGCCTGGGGTCCTCACTAGGGTGTGTCCTTCCGAGAGAGCTTGAACTCTGATCTTTATCTTCTTGGCACTGTGATTCTGCCAAGTTCTGGCCTGCTTTACACATGCTTGGGCTTAGCTTTTTAGGTTCCCATGTTGTAAAATTTCCAGCTTCAGTAAATGGCATGAAACCTGAACCTATTTTTAAGGCCCCCAAAGTCTTCAATTTTGTCACTCTAGGCTGTGAGACTATAAAAAACCTGCTAATTTCTCTTGTCCTACTTGACGCCTTCTGCTTGGGGGGAAACCTGGATCCCCAGCCTCTTGCCAAAACCGGCCAATGTGGGCGGCTGCAGATGGCCCACCTGCCCCTTCGTGGTTCTCCTCTCTCCACAATCTTCACTTCCTGGTTACTGCTGCTGCTGCAGCTCCCTTACACCACAGAAATCACCTGCTTCACTAGCTTTTCTCAGTGTTCTTACTGGGAGCAGTATTCAGGGGCGAACTACTCCTTACTATCCAGAAGTAGAAGCCCTACACTTTCCTTTTGGGGGGCTGCATAGTATTGCATGATATGGTGGTTCACTTTAAAATGTAACCTCTGCTCTAATTGTAGTTGTTTAGTTTCTCATTACTATAAAGAGTATAATAATATCTTTGTGGGCAAACCAACATGCATGGGTTCAATTATTTTTATAGGATACATTTATGCAAACAGAATTGCTAGATCAGGAGGTATGATGAATTACAGTTCTCACTGGTATTGCCAAATGGCTCTCTAGAACAGACCCCACACTAGCCGAGCTGAGAGTAAATGCCTAAGGAATGGCCACGGAGCGATTTCCAGTCCTCTCTGCCTCCTCAGGGTGCAAGGCTGCTTCCAGCCTCAGCCTGCTGTGCCGAGCGGGCAAGGGAAGCCACAGATCTGGTGTGTGGTGCAGGCAGCCCTGCCAGGGCCCATGTCTTGCCTGGGGACCAGCAGCTGAACTGATGAGTCAGCTTCCTGTTGAGTCACTGAGAAGGGGCCACGGTTTGGGCATGAGTCCTGCTCCTTGGCAGACACAGGCCAGGCCCAGAACGCCACACCCTACTGTAGGCAATGCCAGCCCTGCTGACGAGGGCAGCTACCACTGTGTCATGTGGTTTCCAGGCCAGAATATCATTGGGGAAGGTACTCATCTGCTCTGTCAGGGTGAGTCTAAGGGTGTATAGGAGTGTACACCCTACACTACACTCTGGAGTGTAGGATTGCAATGGAGCGGGTGGCAGTGGCCTTGGGACGAAAGGTGTAGCTGGAGGAGCCCCCTTGGAGGAAGCTTGGGTCCATAGTGATGGGGGAAGAGAAGGCAGTCCCAGAGGAGTGGACTGCTGGCAGGGCAGGAGTTCACGCCTCTTGATGGAGGAACTGACCGGGAGCACCTGAGGATGGACCCAGATACCTTAACCCAGACATTCACACCCAGGAAAGGTCTAATAAAAACTATGAAATCGGCCCTAGCTGGTGTGGCTCAGTGGACTGAGCACCAGCCTATGAATCAAGAGGTCACCGGCTCGATCCCCAGTCAGGGCATGTGGCTGGGTTGTGGGATAGGCAGAGCCTCAGAGGTTGTGCTGTCCCTGCCCCAGGGCCAAGGCAAGCACAGAGGACCTGGGGGTTTTGCTCTTCCTCCTGGTGCAACCACCTGGAACCTAGACATCCAGATCACCCCCTGGCTACTTGGAAGGTCAAGACAGGCACTGCTGTGTGTGGCAAAGCGCCCCGGCTCCAGAGACTGCAATGACACTGGAGGACCCGTGAGGTCCTAACACTCACTCTGTCACTCCTGGCTTCTGCATTCTCTGGTGGCGAGTGCCTGTTGGAAGCTAGTTGAAGGGCATCTGCTCTGTCCAGGGTTCAGGAGAAGGGTGGAACCGGAGAGCTGGAATGAGACCCATGAGAACAGTTGCCTTGGAGGGAGCGCCAGACACTGACCTCGGATCCCCGAGGTGGTGAGACGTGATTTTCCCCTGTCAGAGTGACCCATTCAATAAATATTTATGGAGCACTGAGTATGTGCCAGGACAGAGATGCCTGGAACACAGTGTGAACACGAGCCAGACTAGAAGGCCAGGCCGGACACTGCACCAAGGATCAGAATGAAAGGAGAACTGTGCTGAGACCCATGGGGTAGCAACGCAGAATACATTCAGCTCAGAGGGGAGAGGCCCTTCCCCTGGAGGGTCTGGGGAGCTCCTGTGGATGCTGCGGAGTCTGGGGAAGTGTGCAGGGCACCTGGCTCCCAGCCTTGTGTCCCCTGGGTGAGTCCTTTAACTTCTCTTGGCCTCAGACCCACCCCCCACCCAGTCATCACGCCCCGTCTAAACCATCTCTGCCTGTACAGAACTCAAGTCTAACTGTTCCCTCTGTGAAAGGGGAATAACACAACCTCTAGGAGAACAAGGGGAGCCGGAGCAAGCTTTTTGGAAGGAGGCAGCGAGTGGCAGGGAGAAGAGCATGAAAATGCAGCGTCAGAGGAGTGGGTGGGTCACCCTCCCCACCCCCCATGCCTCTCTCCCCCCCCAGTGGGCTGGAACAGACCCTCGCTGCCATCATCTGCTGCTGCCTGGGGCTGCTGGGCACAGCTCAGCTCCGCAGCCCGGTCCTGGCTGCTCTCTGCAGGAGTCGCTGCTGTTGGGCCCACCCTTACCCAGGAGGGCCGAGGAGCAGCCCCGATTCCGGATGCAGGCAGGTGGAAGGCGCAGCCTGCCAGGGCCCTGGAGGGCCCCCGGCAGCTCCAACATCCTGCTGGGAACTGCCCAAGCCCTGGGTGCTCCCTCTTGGCTCCAGCCAGCTTTTTCCTAATTAGTGCCTGCTCCCCCTCAGATCCCTCTTCTTTCTTCCGGACTGTATGAGTGCCCCCCCCCCCCCGCCCCCACAGGGACTCTGGGAAGACACTGCTGTGCTATGGGTTATTTGGGGCAAGGTGAGGACCCAGGGCGGAGGCCCACGGCTCCCAGGGGAGGCCAGTCCAGGGCCTGCAGGCCGGAGCACGATGGGGCTGGGGTTTCAGTTCGGCCACACCGGTCCCAAAGCCGATCTGGGCGGTCAGGGGGAAAAGCACACGGCAGCAGCAGCCCTTCCCGTTTTGCCGCCAATTAGCTGCCTGTGAAAGCACGGTCCCTTCTCTTGTCTGCACCTCACTCCTCATCCAAGTTGAGAGTTAGATGGTCTAAGGTTCTCCCCTTTTGGCTAAAACCCTGTCATTCGTAGCCCTTTTTGAGAATTAGTGCTCAATATCTCTCAGGACTGCAGCTGGACAAGGATCTTTCACCAGAAAAGCCAGACACACGAAGTCTGGGGTGCGGCGACTCACTCTGCGGCAGCTGAGGCTTCGGCTGGGCAGCATGCCCCCCATCAGAGGGGCGAGTGCAGCTGGGCTACGCGTCCACCTCTCCCTTGTGGGGCACGGGGACAGACAGCTCGAACCCTGCACCTCCTCTCCCACACTTACAGCAACGCAGGCAGCTTCGCTGGGACACTCAGGAGCACCTGGTGCTGGATGCTCCACTCGGGACGCACGCACTCAGAGGGCCCTCAAACCCTCTCCTCCTTCCTCTTGCTCCTCACCTCCTCCTGGCCTCCACTCTACACCCCGGCCCACCCCCTCTTACGGGACAGCTGCCGAGACAGACGTGACGGGTTCCGAGAAGAAACCCTGGTCCCGGGGTTCCCGTTCCTTTCTCACGGAACATCCGTTACGCGAGTCCTAGTATGGATGTTGTGACTTCAAAAATCTTTGCTACTGTGATAACTCATTAAGCTATTACTTTTTAAACACCCAGACGCAAATTAGCTTTGCTAAGTGCCGGAGGCAGAAGGCTCATCAAGAGTGTTGCAGCAGCCACGGGCCCCAGAGCTGGGCAGGGCACAGAAAATAAATGCGGCCTAGCCCTGGGCCTCACTGGAAGGTGGCTGCGAGACCAGGCACCACCCACGTGTCGTACCTGTAAGGAGAGGCTCCAGGCAGGTGCTCCTCCCAGGAAGGAGCCTCAGGACACGCTTGAACACACAAGTAGAATGAACAATTCTGGACACATCAGCCCGAGGGCCAGAAAAACCCAGATCTGACTCCCATCTCTCCTCTGGAAGTCCTACGGCCCTCCTCTGCACGTCGTAACCGAGAACACTACAAACTCAACAGCAAGTTTTGTGAGCACCAGTGACAAGTTCACAGCTCTATGGACTTCCACCAGGAGAGCAGGTGGTTGTAGCGAGTCCTCCTAGTCACCATAGAGAAGATTTAACAAGTAAAAACCTGCAAACTCTTTATTAAATTCTCCCATTTCATCTGTACAGAAAAAAATGCACATTATGTTCAGAATCTCGGAAACATCTCAAAATTACACAGCATGAACATGTAAAAACAAGGAACTGCGGGGAGTTTATACATAGAAAGGAAAACCATTTACAAAAGAGGCTTGTTAATTTTACTTTTCTTTCTTCCTTAAAAAAAAAAAAAAAGTCAAAGGCCTAAGACCTCACACAGCATCGGCTGCACGTCTGCTTTCCTGTCCCGACTGACCTGGGGACACCGCGCCGGGAGAGGCCGCTCCACCCAGTGCGCCGCGATCTGACGGGGGGACCTGCTCAAACCACCCTAGCATGTCTGGCAGAGGTGCTGCTGGGCTCGGGGTCTGGGTGTCACCTCTATGTTTGGGGGAGGAGAGGCAAAAACAGAACACAGAGGCACTATGATGTTCTCCTTGCCCAGGGAGATTGCTCCACTGCACGCATCCCAGTATCCCCGCCTGTGCTTCACGGTGGATCGTGGGAAGGGGGAAGGAGAGGAAGCCACCGCCAGGATCCTGTCACCGCCAGCCCTAGCAGACCACCCCACCTTTGTGCCCCGGATGCAAACAGTCCCTGCCTTCACAGTGATCTCACTCGACGGGCTGGGGAGACCTGCATGCACCCTGAAGGTCGGTCTGAGTTTGCTAACAACTTCCACGCAGTCTGAGGTCGAGGCAGGGCCAAGAGCAGCGCAGTCAGAGCGGTAGCCAAGCAAGACAACTGAGAGTGAGAGGCAGACCGAACGCCCGCTCTGGGCCCAGGCCCTTGCGAATCAAAGACCACGGGGGAGGTGAGGAGCGTCCCTGAAGGCCCGGGAGAACCTCAGGGCACCTGAGCACAGCTCTGTAAAACTACTCTGATGCTGTCCAGATGATGAGAAATAAAAGGGATCTCTGAGGTTTTTCAAATTTGTAAGAATCTGAAATACAAGCAAACATATCAAAATGCACATAATTCAAAGGCCATACTCTTTTTGTTCTATGCCAAAATTTAGGTTGAATGTGTCAGGTTGGGCTGGCTAGCTTCCAAGGGTCCCTACTCTAGCTTCCTTCTCCATATATGCTTACTTAGCATGAGTTCTAGGAGAAGAATGATTATGCATTTATTTTTTGGTGAGGGAAGGGAAGAAACGGGAAGTGAAGGCCTTTTCTCAGAGAAACCTGAGGTCAGCTCAGAAAAGAGGTCCCACGTAGCAATCTACCCTTCCCTGATGGAACACTTTGGAAGGGATCTTTGAGCCAGTAGTACCACCGCCTGGGGGTGGGGAGGATGGGTGCCCTTTCCAGAAGTCACACTCACGTCTGAGAGTGACTCTTCTCTTGGGAAGGCAGAGGAAGTCAGCATACAACTTCTTTTCCGCTTTGTCTGTTAAAGTGTAAATGGACACCACAGACCTCTTAACCATTGGATTCGTCTATTATGTGACCTCAGGAAATGGGAAGAGATGAAATCTAATAGCAATTTTCTGTGACATCTTCTGGGAAAGCATAATTTCCCACTCTCCCCACCAGCAGAACTGTTCTCTGCTCCCCCAGAAGAGTAAGCACAGGATGTTGAGATTGCTGAAAGCCTGCAATGAATTCAAGTCAACACCTGCTCACTAAATACTAGAATTCCCCTAGCTTCTAAGGATGCACGGGCTCAGAACGAGCCGACTGGACCCACACGACTGGGACTGGGAGTGCTGGCAGAGGGCCTCCGGGAACGCAGAGAACCTGGGCCTTTGCTAGGGCTTCTGTCTCGGTGCTCCTTGTGAACAGGCTTCTCCAGGGACCTCAGCGATAGCAGAGGAGGGCCAGGGATGCACCAGGGTAAAGTCTCGCTCCCAGAGCCACCCTCTGTGGGCGACACTCCAGTACAGGGAGCAGCTGTACTGTCTTGTTCTTGCCGTTTGCCCAGACTTCTGACTTCCTGTGCACAGTGCCTCCAGCTCAGGAGCCTGACCTCCTGGTGCCTCTGGAATGTCATGGAGCACGTTAAGTGTGAGTCCCTGAGACACTGGAGTGAGCTAATAAGGCCAGGAGAGTTACCTGGCTATGTAATTTTCAGCAAACCCCGCCCCACTTGTTACTTCTGCTATTATTCATGGGCTAGGCAGCAGAAGATAAATGCCACGGGCTATCATTAGTTCCTCCAGCAGGGCCATGGTTTCTTCCTGACTCCTTGATTCACCCACAACTGAATCCCGAGGCTGACGATAACCAGAGTGCCCAGAACCTGTGTGTTATACCCAGTGCAGAGCAGAACAGAACAGACACAGTGCAGGTTCGGATGGTACTGGGCGCAGAAAACTGCTCAGGACACTGCCTGGAGTCTTAAGTACCAGTCATATAAAAACTATTCCAAGTAGGATGGGGAAATGCTTTCTCGCAACAAAAAACTGAAGGTACAGGCAGAGTTATCCCTTCTACTCTGACCGTTTCTAAAGAGGACAAATGTTTCAAGAATCAAACTCCTTCTCAAACTTCCAGATCTGCCGCAGACAGTGAACGAAGAAGGTCTCAGTTCGGAAAGAACGGTGTACCGAGAAACACTGACTTATGGAGATGCTCTGTGCGTACTGGGAGGGAGACTGTGGAGATGATGACGGCCCCGCCCCTCCAAGAGGTGAACATTAATCCTATCTGTAAACCTCGGCAGACACTCTGAGGGGGTTCAGCGTTTAGAGGGTAGCCCCGCTTCTCAACTCCCAGCCTCAGCAGCCCCCACCCCGAGGTGGGAACCCCTGGGAGTAAGCTGTTGGGACCAGCTCAGCTCTGGCCGGCAGTGGTGGTAGCCGGGAGTGCTGCTCAGACTTTGAGAGTTTCAAGTTTTGTGAGACTGAAGAACCCACGACAGCCACTGAGAATCAGGAAGACTCTGCGAGCGGGACTGCGGGGACCAAGCAGCACAGCAGCTCCCCTCAGTGACCTGCAGTGCCCTAGGCGGGGGGAACACGCGGCTGGCTTCGGGAACCCACTGCCTCCAGGAAGGGTAGCGAGGAGAAATGAGAGGAAAAGAAGAAAACCACAGTATCAGATACACATCAGTCAGGTCAGACAAGGAGTAAGTTGGATCGAGTGACCCACAGACTGTCCCACCGTGTACTGAACGCAATCCAGGGAAGACAGGTGCCGCGTGGGTCCGTGGCACATGTGGACGGTGGCGAAGGAGGGGCCGGAGAGGAAGGGCGCCATGGTCTATGCAGACAGTTTTAGGCACATGATTTATAATACTTTGTGGACGTCTAACAGATTAATAAAATATATATTATATAAATATATCTCCCACTGTACACGCCGCCCTCTTGCGCAGCTACTGTGACTCCATGCCCCAGACTCAGGCCCGGGTGTGCGGGAGAACCGCGAGGCCGGCGCTCCTCCCTCTGCGCCCTCCGAAGCTGTCACTCCCCGCTGCAGGGGAGGGAGGGGGCCAGGAATGCTGCTTCCATTAAGCTCAAACTCTGAAAAGACTGATGAATCACCAGAGTTACAACATTCAGCCAATGCCTACCACAGTGGGTATATGCAGCAAATGGACAGAAAGAAAAAAATGGAGAAAGCCTCCATCTTTTCATGTAAAAGCATTCCACGTCCTCACCATGCAGAGGCATAAGGGAGCTTGTCTAGGAAGGTGGCCTTGAGCCTGCAGAAAGGTCAGGTTGGACTGCCAGTCACCCTGAGACCACGCTGAGAATCTTTATAAGCCATTGTCTCTGACCTGCATTGTTGCCTACAAAATAAAGCAAAGTGAGTCAATTCCTGGCTGCCCTTTCCTGCCCCGAGTCCCTCCCCCGACACACACTGCTTCCTGGCGGGACTTCTGGGGCAACGGCTACCACAGCAGGGTCAATCCAATGTAACCGAGTCCTGCACTAGCCTGGGGAGGGAGATCACTGGGATTCTGCTACCTGGGGTCTCAGGGTCCAGCCTCTCAGGGCGGATCAGCATCACAGAGTTTTGATCCTCTCCCCAATCCATTCGCCCTTGGCCTATGGAGAATCATGCTTTGCTTCACTGAGGTGAGGAGATCACAGAAATACCCACGGCCTGGGGGCAGGGGCGGGGGGTCTTGACCAGCAGTGGCTGTATTAGGGTGGAAGCTGGAAGGCATAACTGTTTCAGCAGAAGAAAACAGGACCCTAAGCAGGCTGGTAAGTGGTCTCCCACGACTCGGTGAAGTCCACGGCCCTGACATGGCCCTAAGGTGCTTTTGAGAAATAAGCAAGACATCCCAGGCACAGCACATCGGGTGGCGTGTTTCCCTCTAACATCCTGTCTTCATCTGACACAGTCCCACAGAAGAAATAACCCCGCTGCCCAAATCAAGCCTGGAGGAGATGTGTTACTATATACATTTTTTTCTTTCTTTAAAAATGTTTCTTTCTTTTTTTTTTTTTTTTGGTGTTTTTTTTCTTAAAAAAAAGAAAAATCATTTGAGTTGCAGGTCAGGTGAGTTGGTTCTTGAAGTACCGGTAGTTCCATTGGTATGAGAGAGACTCGTCTACGAGCAGGTAAACCCAAGTTTGCCGACGAAGGTGGTAGCGAGCGGCCAGCTGCTGATGCTGCACGAACGGTGGAGAGGAGAGGGGCACCAGGAGACGGGCGGAGTCTGAGACGGGACAGCGCAGCGGATACCTGCTGCTGCTCTAACACGGGTGTTGGAGGCACCTCTGAGAAGAACGAGGCGAGCGGGTATGCTATACAGGAGGGCTGTACAAACTGGGCACCGGACAGGTAGTTCCTTCGGTGGTCAAGGTGGCTCTACCTGTCCTTGAGCTCCCGTGTCACTCGTTTGGTGATACGTCCACACATCAGGCCAATCAGGAACAGTATACAGATGCTCCCACTGATCACAGAGAGAATGTAGTTCTTTGACGGGGATGTCATCACTTGCATGGCGAGGTCAGAGAAGCCATCCGCTGGGGCCACCTGGAAGAACATGTAATAGCATCACCCTTTGAGAGAGAACCGGGCTGGGAGCTCTAACTTGCCCTACCTCCGTTCCTAGTTGAATTGACATCAGTTCTTTTGAGGACAGAGGGCAAGGGACAAGAGCTATGACTCCTTTTTCTGATCATAATATTGCATATATCTACTGTGCATGATTAGATGGACCTGGGGAGTATTATGCTAAGTGAAATGAGCTATTCAGAAAAAGATGACTAACCACACAATCTCACTTATAACTTTACAAACAAAATACAGAAGCACAGAAACAAAAAGAGACTGACAGCTGTCGGGGAGGAGGGCTGGGGAGCTAGGTAAAAAAAGGTGAAGGGACTAAGGAAAAAAACAATACATAAAACACACAGACACGGACAATGGTATGGTGGCAGCCAGAGGGAAAGGGAAGACGGAGAGGCAGAAGAGGGCAACGGGGAGGTCATCGAGGCTGGAAAGAGACTTGACTTTGGGTGATGGGCCCACGACACAGTGTGTTTTACTGAGCTGTACACTTGAAGATCGTATGATTTTGTTAACCAACCTCACCCCAATAAATTCAATTAGAAAAAGGGACTGCTGATTCCCAGCCAGGGTACAAGCTTGGGTTGCAGGCCATAACCCCCAGCAACCGCACATTGATGTTTGTTTCTCTCTCTCTCCTTCCCTCCCTCCCCTCTCTAAAAGTGAATAAAAATTAAAAAAAAAAAAAAAAGGGACTTCTAAGAAAATTACAAAGAAAAGAGATTAGAAAATGCAGACAAATCGAAAGAGGGGAGCCTCGTCACAGAAGTCACTACCGACGACAAAACAGCAGCCCGCACACCGAGGACGGGCGATGTGCCGGGCCCTGGCCCGGGCTCCCCGCGTTTTCAGTCCTTCAGTCCTCACACCAGTCCTCGCGAGCGGGTTTCGTGACTCCCATACGCCAGGTGAGGCCCCAGAGGCCCAGGGAATGGGAGATGGTTTCGAGACTAGCAGAAAGTCACAGGTTCTTACGTATTCTCATTTATTTTCTTCGCCATGTTTGTAAAAAATAATTTAAATTGTGTTGTATGCTAATTCTGTATCTTGACTTGTTTTCGCTCATTGCTGTATCATAAACAATAAAAAATAACGTGCAGACATGACATATGGGGACTGACTATACTTCACCACTCCCCCATCGCAGACACGTGTTAACAACACCAGTCTTCGTCCTCAGTCTTCCTCGCTGCTGTCTCAATGCACCTCTACGGGAGCCTGCTACTGCGGAGTCAGAGCCCAAAGGCTCCCCAGTTGCACACAAACCTGTTCTTTTGAGCCTCCCCTTAGCCCGGGTGAAAAGGGCTGGCCCAGAGATGTCCGGGCTGCTTCTGTGCTCATCCCACACACACAAAATAGAGCAGGAGGCTTCCGACGAATGTGATTGGAACACCGACGCTTGTCAACGCGAGACAAGCAGCGGCGTTACCCTGAAGCAATGCTTATTAGCAGCTCCAAAGTGGAAATCGATGAGGAAAGAAAAGACCAATTTCGTGCCTCTGCTGTTTCAACTAAGGACTTCAAAGCTGACTTTGTTCCCTTGGGACAAGGGGTGAAGGGTGCACTTGCAACATGGACAGCTCTGCTCCCTTATGTCTAAGTATGAAGACTTTCTGCAGTCTTCCCGCTTGCCTGTTACCCTTGACCTTTAAGCACATGGGTGACAGGAAGAACTTGTAGAGAAGGAGTCCTTATGTTCACTCTCTTGATCCAAGGAATGTGTCTCTCCCAGTGCAGGGAGATACAAAGAGCTTAAATCTGACATCTGACTTTTTTACCTTGGGCAAGTCATAATTTCTGAGGTCAGCCCCCCCATAATGTATGAAAATAACCATTCCACTTACCTGATAGGGTTTCAAGGTTTAAATGAGGTAACATACACATCGAAGTGATTTGTAAACTACAAAGCAATGTATACTTGAGAAGAACTGTTACCAGTCTTCTCAAAGAGGCTGAATTTTTGTAGGAAAAATCTCCCCCAACCCAAGCCCGCCTGGGTACCACACCCTTTCACTAGCGTCCTGATGTCTCTCTTGACCCTATTACTCTCCCTGTTCCAGGCTAGCGGGGGGCCGGTCTCACACACACATTCTTCTCCGCAGACTGCGGAATTAGAAAAACAAGCTACACAACAGGAGTGGCTGGATTTCTTTTTTCCCCATGGGTGCGACGTCTAGTTTTGCTTTGCAGAGTTGGCTCAAGTCATATCCTTCCTTTGGGTGACTCACTCTTTAGCAGCGAACTACGAGCAAATGAAGGCAGAGAGTAACGGCCCTGGCGAAGCCTGGCAGACCCCGCCTGATGCAGAGCAAGGTGTGGTTCCAGGCTCACGACAGCCAAGGAGGCTTAAAGGAACACTGGCAGATTCTCAACTACATTTCCCGCCAGCCGCAAGAGAACACCAGGGAAGTATCTTGAAGAGACTGGGAACTGACAGGAGAGACGGCCACTTCGGGAGGGGCTCCTGGCCTTACCTTCGCCGCATAGCTCCACATTTCAATCCGGTCATTGAGGCGCTTTTTGCACTCAGGTTGCAACCTCACCCGCTTATCCTCCAGGGCCTCCATGAGGCAGGACATTTCTGTGGAAGGAAAGGAGTAAGAAAAGTCCGAAACCACACAGAACAGAGAAATTTCGGTAAGGCTGGGGGAAGGGTACCTAACCACCAGAGACTTCAGAGCTGTTGGATGGACAAAGTTAAATCCATTCTATGAAACTCGACCCAAGACCTGAAATGGAGCACAATGAGACTTCGTTTTCAAGGTGGGCTGTCCAGAGTCTCTTTTACTTTTCACTGGGCATGCACGGCACAGAAACAACTTTACCCCTGCCCAGGTTCGACCTCCCGTGGAACCTGTGGACTGAGGCCACTGCTGCGGCCCCCGGGGAAGCTGAGGAAGCTATTCCAAACTGGATAAGATGAGAAAGAGGTTCACGATGATGGCTTAATTTCTGCTCCCCTGATAACTCAATTTTCACAGTCAGGTCAGTTCGAATTGCAGGATTATTTCACAGTTCATTTTGCCACAAAGAGCCATTGCGGCATCGACCAGGCTCCCAGATGTTACAGTCTGCAGCTGAGCTGCAGCTACAGAACAGTGGTCCCGCAGGGGAGGGGGTCGGTCTTTGCTCCTCCCAAGACAGTTCAGACAGGATCAGAGCAAACACAATGACTTACGACGTCCTCGGCCGGGGGTGATGGCTGCACAGTGGTGTTTAATGTCCAGGGCACAAGCTGTATGAAGAACTGGATCCACGAAGATATCTGCTTTGCTTTCCTTCAGCATGTTTAACACCTCCTATAAGGGAAGAGCATTGCAGAGAGAGCTCTTATAGAGAAAATGCATCAGATCTGTTGTCCACAAATACTTTAGGTACAAACAAAAAGTCAAGGAAGGAAAGTTGAGGGTTAACAACAGAGCCTACTTTGAGATAGGTGGCAACTGGTGATGATGCAAAGAACGTACATTTTTAGCATCCAATTTAATTAAATAAATAATACACTTGGGGACCTAGTGAATGCAGAGCTGTTTGCTAAGCAAAGCAGGAGACTGTAAGATCAGATTTGGGTTTTTGATGTTCTGGCATGCCTTATTATTAAACATTAAATGTTAGTATTCATATCAGTGCAATACAGTTACTGGGATACTTTAAGCAGTCAGAAAATGTGAATCTGAAAATCAGAGTAATAAGTTATACAAAAATTCCCAAAGGTAAATGTCTGCAAAATGTTTCACTTTACCTCCATTATCCTCAAAAGGAAAATAAAGAAACCGACAGAGCATAATGCTACTGAAAGAGTAATTCTTATTTGAGTCTGAAGAAGTTCTGAACAAGAGACATATAAACACAACAGAACTGAAATCAGTCTGCAGACTCTCCGATTCTCCTTGATGAAATTACAGGAGGTGAAGGCAGGCTGGAAAGTATTTCTTAAATAAAAACTAGCTTGCAGTCAACAGAAAGGCTGGAGTCCCCGTAAAACAACAATAACAAGCCCCCACCCCCAACGAAACTCTCTTATTGTTCAAAAGTCCTCCTAAAAGCTATATGGGACCATTTGATGACAGAAGAAAATATCTAGATTTAGCTTTTAGTGAACTCAGACCAGGAGAAATTGGAAACATTTCTAGCACATGAAAATATTTGCACACAATGTTCACATCAACTCAACAAGGACATCACTGAGACACTGTTCAAAAAAAGATAAAGCTTTTTCTAAAAAGGTCAAATACATTATCTCACTTTCAAATTTGCAAGATAATGTATGCGTCACAGTCACATTTTGATAGATTTGTTTTTATGTGATGTTTCTGAAATAAATTTTTAGATTTATTGATTTTCATGAATACAATACACTTACTGATGTATTGCAATTGACATTCTGCTCTGGGACCTCACTCAGGAGTGCCCTTTAGACAATGGTCTAGTCACGGGAATGAGACACGTTCACAAACAACCAGCGCACATGAAAGAGTAAGTTATAGGCCATTAATGGTTAAGACCAAATTAAAACTCGGTAAGAGGGAACAGCATAGCATCCTAGGAAGGAAGTTTTAGATTTTATTACTAAAAAGCACAGACTATAGCATTAAAAGGAAGAGAAAGGGAAGAGGAAAGAAAGTGGGGAAAAGTGGTTACCTTTTTGCACAATTCTGTTTTGATTTTGAGCAGGTTAACTTTGAGGCACTCTTCTACTTGGCCTGTCTGCTCCTGGGCTGCTGCTTCCTCGGCACACAGATTGGAGATCTGTTCAGGACACACAAAGACATGGCCGCCTTATTCTCACCGGAAACCTTGGTCTCTGAAATGGGTTGATTTGTGTTCCTCCCACATACACACACGCCCAGGGCTCTTCTCAGACTCCTGGGGGGTGTCACTCCCCTCCCTCCAGAATGTGCCACCATGCTCCGTCTTCCTTCACAAGGACTGGCACCGAGTCAGACACCAGCCAGTGCACTTTAGCCGTCAACCCTGAGATGTGATGCAGATTGCCCGGGACTGGTCAAGGACTCCCCGATTCCACTGAGGGAAGGTTATGGAGGCAAGTAAAATACTAAAAGCAAATGCTTGACATTTATAGAGGTTCAGGGTCAACCCAGGCTCACAACGTGAAAACACACACACACACACACATACACACACACTCTCTCATACACACACTCATACATGCGGAACCTGAAACACAACCTGCAGCACAGACTAAAAACTTAATTTTCTTTGGAAAGCTTTTAGTAAGCTTTTTTGAAGTACTTTTATATATTATCCTCTAAAATGCACGTATGTTGAACAAGGTTTTCCACATGGCCTTTTCTAGCTAGGAAGTCAAATAATTTCCAAGGACAGCAACTTCTTGGTGCTCCCATAGGAGCACTTGTATTTTTCTGACAAACCATGGGGCATTCTGGGCTGACCATCAGAGTAAGGAGACAGGGAAAGCAAACTATACGTCAACAGATATAACAACAGAATGCTCTTGTTTAATGGAGAAATACAGAGCCAACACTGTACACTGTACAGTGACAGGACAGGGCCACGTCTGCCTCGGCGTTACGGAGAACCAGGAACTCAGGCGAAGCGGAGCCTAGAAGACAGGCCTTCAACCAACCCCGGAGTCAGGGCTCAGGGAAAGAGTAAAGAACTTTTTGCCAATAGAAGCGTCTCTGATTAGCTCTGTGCACCACCGGTTCCACACCCAAGTCCTACCTCATCCGAGCAGTGCAGCTGGAGCTGAGGATCGAGGCGGTAATCCAGAGCGGACTCCTGGATAATAATTCGGATCTGGTCCTCACAGTCTGAAGAGAGGCGCTACATGTCACAAAGGTAGAGTGTGTCAGCCTATTAGACTACTTCAGCTTTTTATTTGTCCCCTGACTTGGGGAAGGTATGAAAAAGGTCTTGGGAAAGTAGGGCCAAACTAAGGCCTTCCAAAGAGAGCCACTGTCAGGAACAGAGGTGGTTCCACCAACACACCTCTGTAGAGCGCCCACCAACACACCTCTGTGGAGCGCCCTGGCCGATTTACCTGGTCTGCGTATCTCAGCTTGAGGCAAGAGATGACTTGACCTTCTAGCTCTGAATCCTCCTTGGCTTTCGTCAGGATACCGTGACAGAATTTAGGAATGTCAGCTTTACAGGCTTTCCTTAACACAGGGTTTAGGCGGTAATCTAGAGCAGAGAATGGGAGGAACATGATAAAATATTCCAACTGGATTCACAAACTTTTAGAGATCTACCTTCTAAAGCATATGACATCAATGACCACAAAGAAACCACTGATTTGTTTATTCAATAAATCTTTACTGAGCTCTCACTATATTGTTTTTCATCAGAAATATAAATCAGGAATCCTTCTACTCTGCAGCAGCTCTGCAGGGTCCTTATAAAAATCAGACAGACATCAACAACCTTCCCCATACCAGTTATTTTTGAAAATACTGAGAACAGAATTTCAAAGTCACCTTGGCCATTATGTTACAAGATCTTGCAACTCAGAGATCAAATTTCTCTGTTCTAAAACAATTGCCCATGCCCTGGCTGGTGTGGCTCAGTGGACTGAGTGCCAGCCTGAGAACCAAAGGGTCGCCTGTTCAATTCCCATTCAGGGCACATGTCTGGGTTGTGGACCAAGTCCCCAGTACCCCTACTGGGACTGCACTCAAGAGGCAATCACACATCGATGTCTCTCCCTTTCTGCCTCCCTTCCGCTCTCTAAGGAACAATAAATAAAATCTTAAAAAAACAAACAAATGAACAAAGAACAATTAATTACCCATATACAAGGTCTGTCTGGAAAATGTCCAACCATTGTTAATATAATGAGAATGATTTACATGAAATGGAACCTGGCAGCCAAGGAGAGTGGGCTGGATGGTGTATGAGGGAACAATGACAACTTCACTAGTCAGTGGACGTGGTAGACATTGTTTAGTGAGCACATGTACTGTGTGGCTATCGCATTCAAAATGAGTAAGCAGAACAATGAATCTGCATCAAATTGTGCATTAAGCTTGAACATTCCTCTGTAGAAGCTATTTGAATGATTCAGAAGGCCACAGCTACGGCAACTGGTGATTGGCAGCTTCATCATAACAATGTGCCCACTTATGCATTAAGTCTTGTGCAGTTTTTTGGCAAAACATCAAATCACCCAAGTGACTCAGCTCCTCGTAGCCCAGATTTGGTGCCCTGTGACTTCTGGCTTTTCCCAAAACTAAAATCACCTTTGAAAGGGAACAGATTTCAGACTATGGATGAGATTCAGGAAAATACGACAGATACGACAGGGCACCTAATGGAGATTCCAACAAAGGATTTTGCAGAGTGATTTGAACCGTGGAAGACACTCCAGGAGAACTGCGTGAGGTCCCAAGGTACCTACTTTGAAAGGGACTGAGGCGTCACTGTCCTATGTACAATGTTTCTTGAATCTTCTTTAATAAATGCCTCTATTTTTCATATGACATAGCTGGATACTTTCTGGACAGACCTTGTATTTGCCTGCCATATGCATGAAGTTTTATTAAATCTCTAGACTTCTTAAGAAATCTAGCCTTGCTTTCTTTTGTATGCCCATCAAAGGCAGTTTTCTGTTTTTTTTTTTTTTTTCAGCTTCCTCTGTCCCATGGTTTTCATTCTGTACTGCTGGATACTATTCAAGGATGTAAGTCATTGTGCTTACGCCCCACTCTCCCTTAACATTCACAAGCAACAAAGCACCTACAGTTTGATTAGGCATGGATACACCCTCTCAGTTCCATTTAGTGTGGGACCAGGAAAGCCCAACCAAGATGTTACCTGTGTTCTGGGTGATCTGGCGCTTGGTGATCATCTGTTTGCATTTGGGATCCATCAGTTCGCTGTTTTTATTTTGCTTCAAGCACTGCAACATGGTTTTGGAATCTGCTTCTGGACAGAATCTCTGCAAGGAATCAAAGTTTTATAAAAACTTTGGCTATCCAAACATGGCAATTAACACCATCTCTATCCCTTGCACATCTACTGAGAAGCTTATACCAGAAGCAGCCTGAAGGTATCGCCTGGTACAGCAGAGAGAGGTCTAAGCCTGAACAAGCACTCAGCCTCAAGTTCCCTGTTCTTCACCTACTTTCCACTGCAGTTCTCACATTTCTTTCTCTCACCTCAGTGCTTCCTACTTTGCATAGGATTGGTTCTCCACCTTCATGGATGTTACATTACATGGAATCTCACGAGCTTAAACATTATTGTGCATGAATATAACATTGCACCAGGTGCCCAAATGTCTATCTAATTCCAATGGGAAACGTAGGAATTACCCACTAACCAATGTGAACGGAGATGTGTGGAAAGGACTTGTCTGGTTTACCTCTTAACCGCAGGGCTACAGTCAGAGCTCCATTTTGGATCAGCAAAAAATTCCATCTCTACTTGCTAATTATAGTCCATTGACATCTGAATTTGGGTATATTGGCTGCTGACTAATTTTTATAAAGGTCATCAAAATCTCAGGAAGTTCTGCCCTGGCCAGGTGGCTCAGTCAGCTGGAGCATTGTCCTGCACTCCAAAAGGGTTGCGGGTTTGATACCCGGTCAGGATGTGTGTGGAAGGCAACCAATAGATGTCTGTCTCTGTCTGTCTGTCTGTCTGTCCCTCTCTCTCTCTGAAATCAGTAATAAAATATCCTCAGGTGAGGATTTATGAAAATTGAAATCTTATAAAATTCCCACAAATCAGAGCCTGATATTTCTACTTTTATGAAGGACTCAATTCTACCAGGCCCAGCTGAACTCTACCAGCTTTCACAATTCTCTTTGGAATTTATTTGATCGGGTGAAAAGTAACATTTTATTTTAAAGGGAAGCTGAGATAATGCGTTAGAACCGTAAGTTTAACCTCTGTGTACATAGGGATAGATCTAGGAACTGACGTCTGTGTTCTCAGGTCAGCCCTGCTGTAGGGAATGCTCACTGGAGAAGTAAACGAAGCAAAAAAACCCTGCGTACAGTGGAAAAGACTTTTGCTTGTGGTGGATGAATGATCAGGACATTGATGGTGGTTTTCTTACTCTACTACCATGAATTGCCCCCAAAACCAGTAATATATTCATTGGACCTCTATTTACTTGTGGCTCAGGTCAAAGTGATGTCACTTATCTTAGCTCAGGGGTTCTCAACCTTGAGCATGCATGAGAATCGCCTGGAGAGCTTGTCAAACCAGACCGCTCCACCCCAGAGTGTCCGATTCAGCAGATCTGGGGTGAGGCCCAGGGGTCTGTAGATGCCCAGGTGGCGCTGATGCTGCTGGTCTAGGGACCAGACTTTGAAACCACGTCTCAGCTACATAAACTGGTAGAAGACTGCTTAGCTACAGAAACAGGAAGATCATATGAATATGCTCTAACGTTTAAAGAGGTTTATGTTATTATTTCTACTCACCCTGTGCTTAGTGCTTGGTTTTGGACCCCTTACCTTTATCATCTGCTTGCAGACTCTCATGAGTGTATAGTCTAGTTCTGGGTCCATCATCTCTGTCTCCTGGAGCTTAAAAACTTTTTGGTGGCAACGGGTACTTAGCTGCTTCTTGTTTTCTTTTAGACATTCAATAATCTATGGCGTAAGAGTTATGGTCAAGTTAAGGAGTGTATCTGGGATTGATAATCCATTTAGTGTGAGCATTCTAATCTTAGGGCATCCCCCATTTTTCCATACAAGAACCTTCCATTTCTAATTCCTCAGTAATAGGAATCAGCAGAGTCACAACGTCAGAGCTAATAGTAAACCAGACTGGATAAAAATAATGGGTGAATAGCAGGCTGCACTGAACTCTAAAAAGAAAGAAACCCATTCAGGATTGCTGGTTTTTTTTGCCTTCTAGAGCTGTCCCTTGACAAGACTCCTGTTGGAGCACACATGAGGCCCTTGGACTTTCCCCGAACAGTAACCCTGACGAGACAGTCGGCATAAGCCAGGAAGTTCAGTTCAACTCACCACTTACCACATGAGAACAGAGCATTAGATGCCAGGTATTAACTAGACCCAATCTTTCCCCCTCACAGGGCAAATGTACACAAACAAACAACTGCAGTAAGAAAGATGAGTGGACTAACATAAAAGCATAAAGTATCACAGGATGTATTTTATGATAGTGAATTATTTGTACCCTGAAATCTCCCCTTCCCTCTATCACCTGGAAACGGTAAAGAAGGGAAGCAGATGGGAAGCTTGGGTGGCTAAAGCTTTACATTTTCATGACATCCTCAAGGTACACCCAAGAATCATCAAATAACTAAGGAAAAAGGTAACAGAGCAATTAAAACTTATATCCTCAGAACAATACAGCAAAATGGTAAATAAGAATCAAGAATAGGTTATGAAAAGAATCAATTACAGATCTTGGCAATAAAAACTGGAGAATGACATGAATTCTGAGACTGAAACAGACAACTAGAATACAGAAATATTTAAAAAATACCTAATATGTCATAGTGGAATTACAGATTATTAAAGATAAAGAGAACTCGTACAGACAGATTAACTACATAGAAATGAGAATGAGATTGACCTAAGACTTTGCATTAGCAATGCAGATACAAGAACACAATGAAGCCATTATCTCAAAGGAGGGCTCCATGGCAATGCCCTGAACTAGAAGAGGTAGCTGAGTCACTGGGAAAACATAAAAAAAAAAAAAAATCATTTGCTTGCACTTCATTCCTGACAATTCGGGGTAGGACTCTGTTCCATGTATTTTCAAAAAAAGCTTGCTAGGTGCTACTTGTGTGACCTTTAGTTGGTAACTGCAATGGAACAGAGGGAGGGAATGATTCACCATGGAGGTGCAGAGTGTTGGCAAAGCCATAGAGAGGAGGAGGCATTTGAAGGGTCGTAAAGATGTTATTAGGTGCACAAGGTAACCTGAAAGAGGAAAGAGAATAGACAGGAGACAAAGAGAAACTCTGGGAAAAGTCTAGTGCAGCCTGTGAGGGGATGACTGGGCTGGAGAGGACGTGATGAGGCCTACCCCACCAGAGAAGAATTAAAATGTCACCTTCACATTACTTTTGTTTTAGAAAATAACAAAGAGTTACCTGAGCATTGCCATATTGCACAGTGGAACAGTAGTTCTTGATGTCACTCCTGCAGGCCTCATACAGGTCTGGCTCCAGACGGATGTCCTCTGTCTGCACGAGAGGGAGCCAGCATGGTAAAGGGCGGCCATTCTGAGCTGGGGATGTCGAATGCTCTACATACGTATTTGCTGACTGGATCTTGTCTAGTAACCACAACTCTACACAGCAAAGTGGCAGCGGGGATGAGAATTTACTTTCTGTTCTGCCACTAACTAGCTACCTGGCCTTGGCCTTCTTCTGTGCAATAAAATGCTACCATCTACCCCAACCCCTCACAGAACTGCTGTGAGATGCGATGATATGATGTGGAAACCACTTTAGAAAGTTAAAACCATTATATACATGTAGGATCCTACTTTCACTATTATTATTATACTGAAAGAAGTAGGTTCAAAATGAGGGGCCCAAGGCCTCAATTAAATAGGACATTTGGCCAACTCCACTTACACACGGTTATCGCGGAATCACTGCCATTGCATGTGAAAATCTGACAGTGTGACTTTTGAGATATTAACAAAGTTTGGTGTTCATTACTAGCTTTGCTTAGACTGAGGTGAAGTAAGTATGATTCACAATATAAACACATTACATATTTTTAGCTGTTTCCTTAACATGGTTTGAGCTTAACTTCGAAACCAAAGCAAGAATTTCCCTCTTGTACTGCGCACTGTGGGTGACTTCTGCTGCACCTGGGCGGCCAGTCAGCTCCTCCATGCATGGCGCTCTGGGCACTGCAGCTGGTCAGGGGGTGGGCACAGGCCTCAAACTGACATAATCAAATTGACTCTCTTGTTCATGCTGGGGAAGGTTTCTCCTGTTTGTACTGTCCTGCAGGAGATGAACTTTGGAGCAGGTGGCCCAGGTGCTGCAGGTAGCCATGGTGAGGGAAAGCGGCCTCATGATGAGGCCGGTTCAAGGACAGCAGAGTGAAAAGGTAGAGACTCTGACCCTCAAGGACAGCATCAGTGCAATGATTGTATCGCGTGCTTACAGTGTGTCTTACTCTGGACTTCCGGTTTCACACAGTCAAAATATTTCATCATTAAAAAAAAAAGTAAGACAAGGAGCTGTCATATGGTACAATTTTAGCACATGGCTCCAAGTCTTAACCATCACAATTTTGGCTAAAATCTTTCAATCAGCCATGGTCCCTCGCCTAACTTTCTATCCTCTCCTCCTGTGGCTCCTGGGACTGGAGGGTGCAGAGCGAGGCATTACCATCTCCAGCTCCTCCACCCGCAGCTGCCGTCGGCACTTCAGGGACACCCTGTGTTCTTTGGCTTCCTGGAGAGTGTCGTTGCGCACGGTGGTGCTCAAGCAGATCACCACGTCCACCCTGCCAAAGAAAGGGAGGAGGTCTCAGACTGGCTGGAGCCGCGATGGCAGGCCACCGAGAGCTGGGCAACAATGCCTCCCTGAACTCATGATCCCTTTACCGTGTTTTTGAATGCATTTCCTATTAAGTCCACTGTGTTTTTAGGGCTCTAAAAGTAGAGTTTGACTATATATGTCATAAAACTCAGGCCACAGCCTAAATGCTGAGTATGCCCCTGACTGGCAAGCAGGCCAGAGAGGGAATGTGTGTGCGACGACAGTTCAACACCTGTTTTGTTCAAAATGTGACCAGAGAGGAATGCAGCTCTTCACTCTGGACTGTGACCCTGATGTACTGTGAACTCATTCTTGAACAGTACAGAAACCTGACCAAAATGGGGATTTGGTTTACATGAGGGGAAATATGTTCTAGAAACGTGCCTTTGCAAAGAATGACATGAAAAGATTTGGGTATAAGCTCATCACTCTCTTCAGGGTTAAGACGTAATTCTTAAGAGAATAAAACTGTTGTTTCTTCACTAGATCTCTAACTCAGTGAAAGCCTCTGCTCCTTCCCTGAAGGGGTGACAGAACAGAATTATGTCAGGAGGAAGCCAGCCAGCCTCTGGCAGCCACACCGCAACCTGCTCTTCTAAGTACACGATCTGTACCTGCTCCCTCAGTTACACAGCCTGAACTGGAAAAACTAAAAATGCTCCTTCAGCCTACAGGCTTTCTGTATCGGAACTACCACTAGCAGTTGTGATTCTCAACAGCTATGAAGACGATGTCCAGACAATGCAGTGTTTGGCCACACTTCCAAAGGAGTGTGCAGGAGGCTTCCTGGGCTGGCAGGCAGCAGGAGGCAGCCTGACATTTTGGATATTCATTCAGTAGCTAACAGGGATTTTAGAGAAAGAGAACAAGTCAATTAAGAGCCACATACTTCTTCTTTATGTTGGGGCAAAGTTTCAGCACGTCTTCTTTGCAGGCCATTTTAAACTTGTAAGAGAACCGAAAATCCTTCATCTGCACCTAAAAACAATGATGAAAAAGAAAATCAGAAGCTCTGCGGTAAGTTCTAGGCAGCAGCGCTGGGTGACACCGTGTTCATACAGTTTGCAGAAGGAGCTCTGCAGGCTCTGCACGACTTGCCCTCGTCTCCCACAGACTTCATGAGCTGCTCACCTCCCCGTCCCCCCTCCGCCACTCCATTCCAGCCACACACATGCTGTTCCCTCGGCCAACAGGACCCTTCTCTAAGATCTCCCCATGGTTTTCTCCATCACTTCTTTGGCATTTCTATTCAGGTGCCTCCTGTTTAAGTCCCTTGTCTCCTTCACCCTCCAGTCCTTACACTGCTTCATTTTTCTTCATAGGTGTACCTGAGACAATGTATTTACTTATAGACGTGTTTTGTTTCTCTTCTTACTAGAACATAGTTGACAAGAGCACGTTAGGTCGTTCCCCACTGACTCCTGGTGCCCGCACCCCAGAGGCCCTTAATCCATCTGTTAAAGCTACTTGGCCCCGAAGAGGGAAGTTTTGCACAAATACCCAGATTTCACCCTCCTGGGAAGAAATTGCTTGCTTTACCAGAAACACTTCCCTTAGACACGTGGTAACAAAGAGTATGATTTAACCTTTTTATTCAAATGCTAGACCTGGATAGTATGATTTTTAAAAAAGGCTCAGAGTCCAGTGTATTGATACATATTTGGGCTGCTGCAGTGAATGGAGACCCGAAACAGCAGATCTCACAGACAGTGTTAAAGGACAGGGTGATATACTTTATGAAAGCAAGTGATGTGACTGAAGCCAGAGGCTCCTGTTTACCTGCCTCAGTCCCCAATGGACTACACGTGTCCTAAGGGCACAAACTACATACTTACCACTGAATTTTCAGGGGCCTATCGAAGTTTCTGGCCATTGCAGATTAAAACCACATTTATTGAGGACAAATCAAAATGGGACATGTATTTGGGGGAAAAAAGGTTTTCACAGGAGGTGTTCTGATGTTCTAAAAGAGGAAGGGGTTCAGTGACCAACCAAGCAGCCAACTGGGTGTCACTGACCAGTTGGAAGTGGGTGACTCCAATGGCGCACTTCTCATTCATGTCCTTCTGGTGTTTGTTCTGTATCAGACACTCCATCAGGTCCCCAGAGTCTATCTGGTTATCTGCCACATCCTGGAAAAGGAAGGTCACATTTACATTCATGTATAACAATTAGTAAACACATCTTGTACCCCATCCCATGAAAAATGTAAATAAGACTGATCCTAGAGCCTGCGCAAAGAGGTTCGTATTCAATTATGTCAAAACATGCCTGAGAAATGAGGAGGGATGGACACCTGGGGAATGCAACGCACACAGCAGGCTGCCCTGCACGGAGCGCCAGCAGGAACGTGCTGTATGTGGTGCTTTCACTCCTCTCCTAAAGCGGCACCAGAAGCTGGCGCTGCTTCCTGGTTGTCAGATGCTCATGGTTCCTGGGGTGTTTTGCTCCCATAATTTAGGTGATTCAGTAAGTGGATGAAGTAAAAAGGTAAGAGAATTCACTCAATATCCAGGTGCAAGAAGGCAGTTGGAAGGGGAAGCCACTGTCACTACTGAAAAATCCTGTGCTGATATACTGGAAGCAACTCAGCCATGCACTGGGGCTTCCCCGCTCCCTCCTCTCTTACACAGGGCATCCCAACAGCTGCTGCTGAGCATGTATCTGGGCACCCACAAAGGACATCGAACAGAGTTTCCCAGGATGGTGGCATCCCCTCTTGATTTGTTTACATCTTCAACTTCTCAAAGTTGGCCACCCAGAAGCAATGCATACTGACGACAGAGATGACCCAACACATCTGGATCTAGTATGGTCCTAGTACTCGATTCTAGGTTCTAACCCTCATTTCCCAGACATCACTTACGTGGCAAAAGTTCTGAATTATGGGCTCACAGGCTCTCATCAGCAAGGCTTCTATTTGAATGTCCTGGAAAAGATTAAACGTAGTAATTGTGCCTTAGTAAGCACCAGGGATGGGAAGAGGAGCAGCTTCCTTCTCTGAACCAATAGCACCTGATGGGCACGAACCTAACACGCACACTTGGAGACGACTCTAGTCTTTGAGTCAGGCAGCCCCACCAGCATAGCTAGAACTGCACTTGCATTATACTCTGAAAGGCAGGTTTTCTTAAACTCAGATGCAGGATTAGGAAGAGTGAGGAGAAAAAAACATTTAATAATACTAGAGTATATAAAGCCTTTCAAGTTTTTCTAAAAAGCTGAACAATTCAAAATGAAGACAGGGGTAACCGACATCTATCTTTAGTTCATGAGCTCCTAAACCAGATCACTGTCCTCAAACGAAATAATAAGTCACTGCTCTGGGGAACACACACCAACTGCCTTTAGACAGAGAGTAAGCCCTGTATAGCGCTAGCTGCTGAAATAACATGTTCCTTTAAAGAGCTACACACTCCAGAATGTCCTTGTCAGCCCATAAGGACAATGTGAATCAGACAGGAGATGACAGAAGATGAAAGAAGGTAATAAACTTTTGAAAAAGATTAAAAAAAAAAAGACTGGTTGAGAAATGTAATTTTATGTACTGTCAATTTTGACAATTCAAATAATTCTAAAAGGCTTATGATAAACAAGGAGAAAAGCAATTCCCTATTTCCCTGATTTCTGCCCAGGCAATTTAAACATTTTTAGCTGCTCCCTCATAATAGTCTCTGTATTTTAAATAATATGCCTATGCTTATGAGGTTTTCAATTTCACCTTTTTATATTTTAGTGGGTTTTAGGATGGAATATGGATAAACACATGTCTTCAATCTTCCATGTTTAACTGTAAGTCCCAGGCTTTTATTTCATTAAACACACAGACATTACCAAATGACCTAACTGAAAGGGCTACAGATAATGGGAATGTTTAGACGCTTCATGAATGTGATTAAGAGATTTCAAGTACAGCTCCTATCTTTTCTTGAAGGGAAAAAATAAGCCCCGGCTGGTATGGCTCAGTAGACTGAGCGCTGGCCCGTGAACCAAAAGGTGACCGGTTCGATTCCCAGTCAGGGTACATGTCTGGATTGCTGACCAGGTCCCCACTGGGGGCATGTGAAAGGCAACCAACCACATATTGGTGTTTCCCTCTGTTTCTCCTTCCCTTCCCCTTCTCTAAAAAAAAATAAATAAATAAAATCGGAAAACCAGCAGACTGCCGAACAAATTCAACCCACAAACATATGTTGTTGGGCCTGAACAATGATTTCAAATGTTTTGAATGAGTTACCACTGAAAATGAGGATTTTTACTTAAAATAAATAAATGCAATCTTTAAAGGGGGAAAAAAAAGATTGGTCTAATCACTGTGATAAATCTAATTTATGAAGTAAACCAGAGGGTTAAACATATAGAGTTTTCTGGAGAAATGAGGAAAGGGGTTCAGAAAGCAACACAATATTCTCCTTCATAAAGCTAACAGAATCGGATGGGTTTTCTTTTGTCTTCCACTGAATCTGTACACTCACGAGGCTGGAAACAGTTGGACCAAGAAGAAAGGAAAGGCTGCTGACGAGGCACTCTCCTCTACGAGCTCCCCACAGCTTACCTCCGACTCCAGCTCGGTGAGGTTGCCGACTATGTCTCTGCACTCCACAGCCAGGTCGTCGAGATGGTCCTGCAGGCACTCAAGCTCCTGCAACACAAAGGCAATCCCTCGGGTCGGTCAATTACAGAAGTGATCAAGGGGAGCTGAGATTTCCGCCTCTACTTCCTTTTCAGTGGTCCTCTTTTCTTTTTTCTTTTTAAAACTACTTCACTGAACAGAACACTAAACTTTTATTTCCCAAATTGGGATGGTTCGAAAGACATTTACTTGATGTAACAGGGTGGTTCAGAGGGTTAAGGGGGTACAACAGCCATGGGAATCCTCCAGAAGGCCAAATTGAGAAGTCCAACAAGAATTAATGTTCAGGTGCTCCCAAAGTTTAAAAATCTTATCAGGCCTTTAGTGTTCCATTCCATCAACACCCAGCCGTCCATTTAAAAAAATGTATTGATAATAATCATTGGACAACAAATTTATGGTGAAAGACATGGAATATGTGTTTTTTAAGATTTTATTTATTTATTTTTAGAGAGTGGGGAAGGGAAGGAGAAAGAGAGGGAGAGAAACACCAATGTGTGGTTGCCTCTCACATGCCCCCTACTGGGGACCTGGCCCACAACCCAGGCATGTGCCCTGACTGGGAATTGAACCGGCAACCCTTTGGTTCACGGGCCAGCGCTCAATCTACTGAGCTACACCAGCCAGGGCAAAGACATGGAATATTTTAAGACTCTTTATGGGCAAAGTACGTAGGGATCCAGCCCCCCCCCCTTTTAAATTGTTGTTTAATTACAGTTGTCCCCATTATCCCCTGATTACTCTCCTCCACCATACCCACCCCCCTCCCACATTCAATCCTACCCCCCTCCCTGCTGGGATGTCTTAGTCCATGGGTCCTTCATACAAGTTCCCTGACAACCCTTCCTCTTTTCCCTGTTATCCCCAGGATCTTAAACACAGCACAGAGCTGAAAGTTCCTGGAAGTCTACTCTGGGATTCTAACCCTAGCCCGCACAAAAGGACCCTCTGAGGGAAACTGCAAAAGAAGTGAGCACACTAGGGTTTGGGTATCTAAGGGCTATCTTGTTTGGGCCTCGGAAACTGAGCTGCAGCTACCCTGAAGCATCAGTCAACTACTATTTCTCTTAGAAATTCAGGTCTTTAAGTACAACATCAGCTCATTTTCCCACAGCACACCCACATCTATTTCTCGGCAAAGGGTTCTGTGAAAAGACCAAGTTTAACTTACTATTTTGCAACAATCTCTCTGTTTTGAAATTAAAATAGGAAGGGAGAAAAAGAGCTGTACGAATTACCCAACCCTAAAGGAAAATGCATAATACTCTTTGGGAATAAAACAAATAATGAAGGTAAAAAATCCCACTCATGGAATCCTATTTAGCCTCACAGTGATGGCCTGCAGCATAGTGCGGCTTTCTCAACGTTACTTTCCAGCAGGTATGAAAGGAAACTGTTTCCTGGATTCTGTATGACCTTATTCCTCGTGTCATTGGACAGAGGCAACAGAATGTAAAGATAATACGCATTTTCTAGCAGTAAATTTGACAGAACTGTAGTAGGCCCAGAAAGCAGGCTGCTAAAAATGATATTCCCAAGCTCAACAGATCTGTATAAGAAGCCACTGTTTCTTTAAAATGTCCAATTACTGCCCTGGCCAAGTGGCTTGGTTGGTTGGAGCACTGTCCTGTAGGGCTGTGGGTTGGATCCCTAGTTGGGGCATGTGTGGGACACAACTCATCAATGTTTCTCTCTCCCTCTCTTTCCCCCTCCCTCCTTTCCTCTCTCTCTAAAATCAATAAACATATTTTCAGGTGAGGATTTAAAAAACTGTCCAATTACTATATGTGCGACTTTTTAATAGTTAATCCCAGAGGGTCTGGAGTGGTACGAATGGAACCTGGGAACCTGGGTTCACGCCTTGTTCTAGTATCAATGGGGCTTTAAACAAGTTCCTCACTACTTGGTTTCCCAGCTTTAAGATAGAAAAACAAGCTACCTTCCCACTTAATTTGACAGGACGCAGTCATGTACCATTGTTTTTAAACTAGACATAAAACCCTAAGGAACCATTCATAGCATGCACGTAATTCTCGGGGGCTGCTCCTTCTTTATGCTTGCCTGTATGGGAGGTGGCTGTAGCATAATGGAACAAATGCCTGGCTAGGATTAGACCTGAGCTTCAGGTAAGGGACTCAACATACTTTACTTCTCAGAGCCTCAATTTCATCAATGACTAGATGGAACAATTCCACTCTTACAAATCCGGCAGCACTGTTGTGGGACACGCACACTACTCACGCACACCAGTATTCACACACATACATATGCATGTATACCCTGTCTCCCCCCAAAACGTGGCTTATGAAAATGAGAAAAGAGGAAAAAAGGCAAGATAAAATGAATAAAAAAGAGGAAAGAAAAGGAAATTGTGTCAAAGAAAGTGGGATGGAGCAAGCAGTAAGTCAGCCTACCACAAAATCTTACATGCTTGCTAGAGGCAGGCCATACTTTTCTTGGGCTCTAGGCTTTTTAAGAAGCAGCACAAAGAGGGAAAACAATCAATTACAAAACACAGTAGCCATAATATAAAAACATACTGACTGCTTAGGAAAAGTACAATTATTCCTAATTAGAGAATCCTAAAGATTTTTATAGAGAGAACATCAAATAATATAACAAATCATGTCCATGAGGTAAGCAGAAATGGATTTTATGGGGGTTTGTACTCTACATAAAATGTTAATCAGGAACATTATTATGATGATTATAAAATAAATAGGTGGCACCATCACCTACCTGTCCAGTCTCTGTTTTTTCACTGCACCATTTCCCCAGATCAATCAGGCACTTATCCTGCAGCGCAGGATCCAGCTTGACATCCATGGCACGCTGGTGCAGAATCCTCTGGACCTCAGCTCGGCACTCCCGTGAGAGCTACGCAAGAACAAGCAAAGTACTCTAAAGGTCCAAAACCCAAATCAGAACCAAAGGACACTTGATAATGTCATGAAACTAACAAATAGCTTTATGTCTTCAATCTCTTCCAGAGTAAGAATTAAATGTTTTAGGAGGCTTCTAAAAACCCACCTCTCTTGGAATGAGATTATACATTCAGCCTATCCTAATATATTATGTAGAGTAGAATGCTGGGTTCAAATACACATGGGTTAGGAGAACTGAGTTCAAATTTACCTCAACTCAGAACAAGCAGGCAATGGTAGAAGCAACAGTTAGCACAGGTCAGGACCAGACTCTTCAAGATGAGTCAGAATTAGCGGAGGGTCAAACAGATGAAAACTATTATTTTTGGAAGGTTTGTGAGAAAGCTGTCATTTACAGGTACCGACAGTCTTTCTTCCTAAAAGGGCCCATGTACCTGGGGTGCGGGGAGAGAGATGGAGAATAATTGCTTAGTGGATACAGGGTTTCTTTCTGGAGACATGGAAATGTTTTGGAAATACAAACACCTAATAGGAAATAGACAGATGTGGCGGTTACACAACTTTGTCAATGTACTGAATACCACTAATTTTCCTCTTTAAAATGGTTAATTTTATATGAATTGCTCCTCAATTTTTAAAAGAAGTACATATATTTTTAAAAAGCCTTGGCTGGTGTGGCTCAGTGGATGGAGTGCAAGCCTGTGAACTGAAAGATCGCTGATTCGATTCCCAGTCAGGGCACATGCCTGGGTTGCGGGATAGGTCCCCAGCTGCAGGTGTGCCAGAGGCAACCGATCGCTGTATCTCTGGCATGTCATTGTTTCTGTCCCTCTCTTTCTCCCTTCTCCTCTCTCTAAAAATAAATAAATAAAATCTTAAAAAAAAAAAAAGACAGCATTCCAGATTCCAACCCTTCCTTCACTTATAAGACAAGGAACCTCCCACTATAGTGACTACCAAGGTACTGTAATTCCCTTGGTTCCTGTGATTAATGACAGGCTCACAACATGAAGAAAAAAGTAACAACAAATTCCCATATTTTCTTAAATAGCAGTATAAAAACTGGGTTACAACTGCAGTAACTGAAGCATAACATTTCTTTCTATCTTGGTCTCTTCATTCTGAATACTAAACTTAGGCTTTTGCATTAAGCTCAGAAGGGATATTTGTTAACATGCATGTGAAATAATACCGTCTCTATTTTCTGTAACAAATGCAGGCCTGAAATGCAATAGAGAACCTCAGAAGGCTTAAAAAGGCCATCCAGGAGAGCAAGCAGCATGCTGGTGTGGCACCAGAAGGCAGTAAATATTGCCTGAGAGTTAAACTTACAGAAATATCCCCAAAGAGGTGGCAACCAGGGCAGATAAATACTAAGAGGCTGGGGGGTATGGAGATTTCTGCTCCAACTAATGTGCTGTGAGAGAGGCCTATTAATATAGTGTTCTGATGCCAAGAGCAGAAGCCTAAAAACCATTTGTATCTTGGCTAAGAGCTTCTAATGGATCTTTATTTAAAGCTAAATAAAGTTAGGGCAGCAGAACTTAATTGTCTATTTGTGATTTGGATTTTGGCAACTCAAAGAAAAAGTTGGAAATGTCCTGACTCACTTTTTAAAGAATCTTTTGATTGTGGCTGAAGGAATTAATGAAGACAAAAGGGCGTGATTTTGTTAAGGCAGTAAACTCTGTTATTTCAGTTTAGATGGCTGAGTAGGCATGGGGAAATCCCCACCCAGCTTTCTGTAGTCTTTTCCAGAGCAAATGTGAGGAAACAAACACATACAATCAGAAAGAAGCTCGTAGAACTCACTGAATGACGAAGTTTTTAGTAGTGCACAAACCCCTCCTCACCAGACACCCTAACAAAGCTTTCCTAGGAGGACAGAAATCAGAACGGTATATAGCAAACAAGTGACGGTAAGAAGAAACGAAGTCAATGGTGATGCATACCCTTCTGCCCTGTTCCTCAGTGCGGTAGGCGTGTCTATACAAGCAAGAGAACACAGCTCCAGGAGGGATAAGTTCACTGGTTTCATTCCAACCGTGGGTGTGGCAAAGACGAGATGCATCTCCCTGGCATTTTCGGTATAAGACAGGGTCCAGCCTATAAGGTTAAGAGTTAAAAGATAACCACTCTTACTATACCTTTCCTTCCAACACATGCTAAAGGTTTTTACAATGCGCTCATGTACTCATTAGTGGCCACCTCCAGGGTAGTGGAGACAGCAGAGAAGCACAAGTATATTCCTAAATTGGTTCTTCATGAACACAGAGTGGTCAATCTGAAGAAATTTGTTCTGCACAGAAGATTGAAATTCTACCTCAAAGATGTTATCTTGGCTAAGTAAGACACACATTTCAATAACAGGCTCAGCAGTAACATGCCACGGCTGAAATGAGAAAATAAGCATTGTAGGATGGTGGGAACCACCCTGCCTGGTTTCAGAAACTGTAACCCCTCATGGCTAAGGCTGAGTAAAAAGACCTTGGGACCACATGACATTAAGGAGACGAAGTTTATCTCCTGGTAGGGGTGCCACCTCTGCCCCCTTTACTTCACCCTGCCTGACCCCCAGTGCATGACCGGTTAGCCAATGATGGGTAAGATTCCTTAAAGGAGGGATGACCTAAGACAGGCACGGCCACGGAGGGGCCCTCAGGGAAGGACTTGGGGGCATAGAAAAAGGAGGTGATGGACCCTTACCCCTCGGCTTTGACATAGCCTGAGTCCTCAATCTGTCTGCAAGAAGTCTCCTAATCTCTTAGCTGCCTTACTTCCCCTGCCTGATTTAAGCCTGAAACAATGTCAAGGGTGGGTACGGCCCAATGCTGGAAAGGGCAGGTTCCCTGGGGCAATTAGACCTAAGAAAAAAATGCATAAAATCCTGTGAAACCTACTTTGCTAATACCCTCAATTTAAATGATAAGAGTCCAAGCACGAAATGAGTTTGTTTCCCCAAAGTTTTATGGCCTTTTAGCTATCTGACCCTGACTCAGAATAAGCCCTCATAGTTCTCTGAATGTTACCTATTGTTTGACTATTACTGCCTGGCAATGACTGATGAGCTTTACATAAACACTCCGTATTCCTGTGCAAATAAACCCAATAAAAGCCCACTGAAGAAAAGGCTCCTGGTCCTTCTCCTTTGAGAGATCGGCTACCTTTCCTCCCCAAGCAGATCTGTCTTGGTGGACTTACTCTCATCTGTGGAGGCGAGGGGGGCCTGGCCTGCGGGCAGAGCCTCCCCACAGTAACTATCAGCAGGCAATTCACAACTTTTATTCAACACTTTTTTCTAAGTTTAAGTGAAGTTCAATCCTACCTGATATACTAGATTCAGTAAGATCAGGAAATGGCAAGATAAACAGAATCTCTCATTCAACTTCCTTTCCAGTGAAACTGTTCCTCTTCTTTTTCCCATGCAAGGTAAGGCCATTATACTTTTAGTTCGCCTGAATGTTTATCAGTTTCAAAAGCTTGACATTTAACTTTGACTCTGGAGACTGTGGATTAAGAAATAAGCCTGCTGCTTCTGCAAATTAAACCAATGGATGCTTAATTCTGTCCACATTATAAAGTCAATTTTGGGGGAGGGCTACCAAATGGGGGGAGAAAGGCTAATAATATTTAATGAGTAGCTTTTAAGACTCTGAAGCATCTTTTGGTTGTGGTCGAAGGAAATTACAGAAGAGGAAAAGACATAATTTTGTTAAGGTAGTAAACTGTTATTTCAGTTTAGATGGCTGAGTAAGCAGGGGGAAAGTCCCACCCAGCTTTCTGTAGTTTTTTCCAGAGCAAATTTGAGGAAACAGAAACACATCGAATCTTCAAGCAATCTTCCTAGTAAAGTATGTGGGTAAAATATACATTAGTCACCAGAAAAAGTTAATGACCAAAGGACAAGGGCTCAAACAACTGAATCGGGAAGGAGCTGAACCTGGGAAGCAGGAGGAGCAGCCGATCCTACTGGCTGCTCTGGAGGTGCGAAGAGAAAATAAGCCCTGGGAAGGGGAGCCAATAATACAGTGATTCTGACGGTAATAGATCTGTCTCCTATCTCATAGCCTCCCCCTGTTTTTTGCCTAACAGGATGAGAAGAGAATAAAGTTGTCATTGATAAGAGCCTCCTAAGATAGAATAAATTCAATAACTGTAAATAGTTAAAAAGAAATAAAAGCAAATTCCCATACCCAGTACAAATCAATAAAAATAAAAATGCACCATTATCTTCTTAGAGACATATCTGAAGTTGCTTCTGCTGACTGGAAGGTGCCCAAGTTCTTTCTAGACAGATGTTTGTGGTATTAGATCCATGTGGTCCTGACTTTCAAAGGAGCAGTGAATGGGGACACTTGGACAGATAGGCAGGGGCTGCCTATACTTTTAGACACTGTTCTGAGAGTAAGAAAGAAGTTTTCCAGGAGATTAAAGTTGTCAGCTATCCCATAAATTAACAAAAACAAATTCCTACTGATTTTTAGAAAATACAAGGGGTACTGACTACACAGAACAGGCTGAGACCGACACGCTGGCTTCCAAATACTCACTTCCAGTCTCGGGAGATGAAATACTGCAACTCTAGCAGACGGTGTTCACAGTCCTCTACCATTTTCTCTGTGTACAAATGTTCCATCAGGCACGAGAGGATCCTGGGCACAAAACAGGGATGAAGTTGTAATGAGATGGAAAGGTTATGACAGTATGTACAGAACTCTCACATCAGTATTTCCTCGGTCTCTGGAAAAAGCCACTTAGCTATTTTCCTAGGGCAGACAGGCACTTACCCTGGTAGTGATTAAGCCTTCTATCAACCTCAGAGCCACTTAGCGCTTAGGACTCAGCCTGCACAAGATCTGTGTGCAGCTGCTTTATTTCTAACTGTTTATTATGAATATTTCCCAACACACACAGAGGTGGGGAATCACGTAACATTCACCTTTCCTTCCCGTAGCTGTATCTACCTATGGCCCCAGTTGTTTTAACTCTGCCCCCCGCCCACTGATACTTTGAAGCAAATCCCAGATACCATATCCTTTTGTCATAAATACTTTAGCATGTGTCTCTATCATATGACAATTAAATGTCTACTAAAAGAAATTATTTTTTAAAAATCTATAATATCATGTCCTGTCAGTTTTTCAAAATTTTCCAATTATTTCATACCTTTTTATATGTTTGTTCAAATCAGGACTCAGAAAAGGTCCACAGGTTGCATTTAACAGATAGTATCTTAAATCTATCTTAATCTATAGTAGTTCCCTCCTTTCTCCCTCTCCCCTTCCCTCTTCGTAGTTGATATAGTTATTTTTATTTTGGTAAGTATGCTTAATTAGTCTTAAGTGTTTGTCTATCTCCCCCAGTCACTCGAAAGCTTTAAGGAAGAGCATCTTTTTAAAATCCCCTATCGCAGCATGGACTGTGTATGCAGAGCAGAATGATGATAAACATCTACTACATGCATTTTATTGTTGGGTACCGCCAGCTGCAGGCTATGAAGATTTCTGCAGAATGGGAAACCTGTTCTTACTTGCAACCTGGTTTTAAGAGCTGATTGCATATCATATGGAATAAAATTAACGCGTAGGATTCAAATACTTCATTATAGAATTTTACAGATTTCCTAGATCCTGGATTCCACTTCAGAGTTCATTTTGTCCATGATTCCCTCTTTCAACCACCATATTTTGTTTGACATTTCAATGATAATTAATTATTTTCTAATGACTACCAAGTAGCCAATATATGAGTTAATTATACAACCAGGATGAAAAGTATAGAGTCAAAGCATGTGTCACTCTATCCTGAGAGTTTCTCCCATTTTTATTTGACCATTACTTGAATTGTTCAGTGACCGAACAGATAGGCCCATCTGTGCTCGGTCACAGTCAACAAACATCGTCACTATGCCGGGTCTGGGTGTCTCCACGGCACCGATGAGGCAGAGCCGAAGTCTCAATTCCCACACTAACTGTAACAAAAGTCAGTGTGTGCTGATATTTAACAAAATTCCAGTTGTGATGTTGAGGGAATGTTCCCTGTGCTACATTGCTGAATAAAATACAACACGAATAAATACTACAGACAAGATAACCTACATTGGGTCTCCCGATCGTATGTGTTTGCAGGCGGTCTGTATTACAGATTCACAAGCTTCGTTCAAAGCTCTATCGATGCGATAATCTGCACCAGGGTCAGTCTCCTGAATCAGTGTTTGAAGCTGGATTAAAACAAAAACAAAAACAAACAAACAACAAAAAAGAAGAAGATGAAGGAAGAAAGTCACACATCAGGGAAGAGCAATGTCACCTCTTCACACAGTCACTAAATCTGGTAAATCACAATGACTCTTAACAAGGTACTACAAGTGTCATCAGCCAAGCTCAGGAGCTCTTGCCAAATACTTTCCAACTGGTTTCTCTACCATGATTAAGAGTTTTCTGTTTAAACCACTGTGGGGACTGCCTGCCTAACAATCTGCATCATCCCTGGACAGTTACAAAACAGAAGGTCTTTACAATATAAAGGATGCCTTTCCTCTCACATCTGCCTCAATATTAATCAGATTACTAAATCTGACACTCAGGGCCAAGCATGAATTGAGTGGAGAAGAATAAATAGAAAACACTCCTGGTTAGAGACCTAATTTGGTTATAAAAATCTAGAATTTAAATTTTGCTGCAAAGACAGTGGCATTAAAATAAGCACAGTCTGCTTTATCAGATGCAGATGTGAGATTTAATTTAGCTTGAAAGAAATACCAATTACAAAAAGTAGAACATAACACTTGTAATTTCCTATTATCCCTTGAGGTAAACCAGAGCTCACTCATTGTAAGTACACAGAGAACTATTTATCATCATGCAGCTGAAAGTGAGAATATCTTCTTTAACATTTACTTTTGGTTGGTCCATGCTTTATCATGAAATAAAGCGAAAGTGTGGGATGTGCCTTCAATTCTTCCTCTCTGTGAGGAGAAAGCAGTTGGAGCGCAGAGTAAATAGCCCTAAATTAAGGACCAGAAGGCCTGAGTTCTATTAATAGTTCTGATTCTGCCAGATACTAGCTTTGAGAACATGGGCAAATTGATTAACCTCTAAGTTCCAGTTTCTTCTACTGCAGAGGACTGTAAGAATATATAGAAAATTGTACAAACTGCAAGCATTTGACAGATGTAAAGGATCATCTGGGGCAGGAACCTTAAATAACAGAAAGCAGATGTGAGAACTACAACCCCGGTCTGAGCTGCTTGTTCTCCAAGTCGAAGGCCTGGAGCCCTTTTTGTGCCACAGACCCAGCCTCGCTCTGTGAGAGCCTTCTCTGATCCTCAGATGTGCGACCCATGACCCCACAGGGGCTCATGTCAAAGTGCTGACCGCATCACATATTGATCAGGACACAGGTCAAAAGGAAATGAAGGAAGAAAACCCCATTGTGTCTATTCTAAAATAAGTCAATAACCAAGATGGGAGAAATACGAAAGATTTCCAGTATTCTGGGATGAAAGTTATTTATACCAATTCCTGGTGGCAATTTGGAGAAGCAACAAAATGCTGTGGTTAGTTGGTAGGAAGATTATTGTCAAAGGATTGTTGATTTCACTAATGACATTTGTTGACACAGAGCAAAATATCTACATCTTTTTCTGAGGGAAATCATAAGCATGGGAGTCTGAAAGTCTCTGCAAAGAACTGTATCAGCTAAATGTCCATGACTGGTGGTGCACAGGCAAACTTGGAGAGTTCACAATGCATGCTCTAGACTGTGGCTACAGAAAGGAGGCAATGGGTACCCTACAGACTCTGGTAGGCTAACCTCTCAAGAGGTCATTGCCACCCTGGGATCCAGGGACAACTGTATGGGAAATGAACACTAAGGATGTAAATTACTATGTGATTCTATATCTACTCCAGCACCTGACTGCCTAGGAGAAACCTGGGGAAACATTTCTGGAAAATGAGTAGTCTAGAGAATAGACTGGGCAGTTATCTTTGGCCTGAGAGAGACTGGGCCCAGACTCAACTGGCCACAACAGAAGAGAATTTAGCAAGTTCATAATATGGTACATTTGGAAAAGTATGTACTCATTAGGATAACGTTTATTTTTATGCTTCACAGTTTACCATTTGTTAAGATATCACTAAATCAAAGCACAGCCAAGCAGAGAATAGGGAAAGTTAATGGCCAACCACACAGGCATGAAAGTTCACTGCATCAGGGAATAAAACTTTGAAAAAGAAAGAAACCCACTCAGAACAAATTACTTCAAAACATTCCTCCATCTGACTAAGGGTGGAAAATGTAGTAGAAGACTTAAGAAAAATTTTTTCCTTTCTTTCAATTCCTAAAAACTAGGGGTCCATAAAAAACAATATAAAGTGTTTGTTTCCCATGTGGCTACACCTAATGTGGGCAAAACCACATATTTCAATATTTGAAGCTTAAGCTCTAGGTTTGGAAAGCACTTTTATTGTGGGCACTAAGGATGAGGTAGGCAGTACCCACTTATCTTTCAAGTAAGTTGTTGAGTCACTAGCTCTTTTAACAAGCTCAATTTCAAAAACCCTGGAGGTTAGCTAGATGCTGTGAAATGAAGTCAAAGTAATTTATTTTATTTTTTCTGTATATCTTAGTACAAGTGTAGCCTGGGTGAAAAAAAAAAAAAAAAGGTTTATTCCTAACCACCCCCTCCCCTTTCCATGCTGCATTAGGGATGAAATGCAAATACAGAATGTCTTGATTAATTCCTGGTCTGGGGCCCAGACACACACATTGTCATAGAGGTTTCCTAGGACAACCATCAGCAATGACTGCTCCTGAGGAACCATATCCCCAAGTTTGCTGTCTAGCTAGGCTTTGTATTTTGGAAAAGAGGCTACATTTATCTCTTTTTCCCATCATGGGATATACAGATTCTGCATCAGGATAATAGAAGTTAAGGTGAAATTTTACTCCACATCAAAATTCTATGGACATTTCGGGTTTCAGACTGTAAAATCGGAATTAGCAGGGCAGTGATTAGCAGGAAAATGAAACTCAAGTAATATTCAATTTTTAATAAAATGTCAACAACAAAATATAAGACTAATGAACTGTGGTTTTCTAGTTTCCCTGAGGAGAGAGCCTCAACTTTCTAATTCGATGAAACAGAGGCGTTGTGGCTATAATATTTTTTTAACTTTATATTATGTACCTGAACTATTTATTCAGCTGTTCCTGGACCCTGGACAAGAATAACTTTATCTTCTCAAGCCAAGTATGCTAATTTTTCCTGACCATTTTAATAGAACTGATTGCAGAGTTTGGAGGTAGAAAAGAAAAACCTCCACATACAGCTGCCCTAGTCTAACAAGAAAAGATGGTGATTTTGAAAACGACCTGCTTTCTTGATCCTTCAGACCTGGAATTCATTCCTTTTTGCACATCAGCCATAAAAAGAAAGTCGGAAAATTTCAATTCATTTCAGGTCTCTTTTAGCCTCAAGTCAATCAAGCCTACTAAAGACAGGCAAGTTCTCTTTTGGTGAAGGAACCTGGCTGATGTAACTGGAATTTGGTTTGCCTGATACTGAGATTAGTAAAGCCAATCTAGTAAATTACCTTAAAACAAACAAATAAACAAACAAACAAAACTCTAGCGAGCAATGCATTTTATCTATTTTTTTATGTATATAGTTCTTTTTATTGATTATGAGCTCAAATTTCTGCTCTGCAGCAAGAGCCACATCTTACTATAACATGCCTGGAGAAACAATCTTCTGTGTCTGCTTCTTTGTACCTAATATTCACTGTGATAGCACAAATAATCCAAATAAAGTTGTAGGGACAGTGTAGGAGGGAGCTCTCCAGCTAATAAAATGTGATATTCAAAACCACAGTAGAAAAATTTTCCTTACCGCCTGCTGGCAGTTCATTCCCAGGTTGCCTTTCTCCCCTCGAACTACTTTCATCAGACAATGCAGGGTTCGCCCTTTTCGATGTAACCCAGAGCAGTGGTGTTCAATCTCCCCCCGACAGCTCAGGATGATCTCGGGGCTCAAAGAAAAGTCTTCCATCAACATGCGTCGGTAATCCAACATCTCCCCCTGGCACTCACTGCTCACCTGTCGCCCTGAGTGAGGATTTGAGCCATAACATTATGGTGAGTATTAGGGTTGAATGTCGACAACATATGAAGAGTATACATTTTCTCCTCAAATATAATATACCAGTCATGCTATTATTCAGACTGAAAAGCTTAGAATTTAGCAAAAGCTTTATCAGCATAAAATGAGTTTAAAGCACCAGAGACTACTGTTTATCTTGTCAGTGTTCTGCATTATATAGGATTTATGCTACTAAACTAATAATGCAAATGTTTTACCAATGAAAGCCTTTTTTGAACAAATATTTTATTTATTTATTTTAGAGAGAGGGGAAGGGAGGGAGAAAGAAAGAGAGAGAAACACCAGTCAGTTGCCTCTTGCACGTCCCCAACCAGGGACCTGGCCTGCAGCCCAGGCATATGTCCTGACCAGGAATCGAACCAGCGACCCTTTGGTTTGAGGGATGATGCTCAACCCACTGAGCCACACCAGTGAGGGTACCAATGAAAGTCTTATCAATAAGATAACTATTTGGGTAAAGTGAAAGCCAAGAACAATCTCTACTGGTCTACACAGTTAAAGCTTATAGAACAGACTACCCTTCAGATATTCACTATAGCTTACCATCTCCTTTCAGCTGTAAATGCCAACTGGGAAAACTTAAGAAATGTTTTTAAAACATAGCTTTATTGAGGTATAACTGACATATAATAAACTATACTTTTAAAGCCTACAATTGGGTAAGTTTGACATATACAGTCTCCAAAGGTATCCAGAAAGTATCCAACCATGTACTATGAAAAACAGAGGCATTTATTGAGGAAGACATAAGACACAAAAAAACAGCCCTGACCAGTGTGGCTCAGTTGGCTGGGTATTGTCTCACAGAGCAAAAAGGTCACCAGCTCAACCCAATCAGTGCACATGCCTGGATTGCGGGCTCAGTCCCCCGCTGGGGGCATGTGAGAGGCAACCTATCGATGTTTCTCTTGCACATCGATGTTTCTCCTCATCTCTTTCTTCCTTCCTTCCCCTCTAAAAATAAATAAATAAATCTTTTTTAAAAAGTTAAAAAAACACACACCTCAGTCTCTTTCAAAGTAAGCACCTTGGGATCTCACAAATTTTCCCAATTGCCATCAGCTACCTTGTTGTATTTTCCTGAATCTCATCGATGATCTGAAATCTCTTCCCTTACAAAACTGATTATTGTTTTGGGAACAGCCCAAAGTCTCAGGGCACCAGACTCTGGGCTGAGTCACCTGGGTAATTTGATATTTTGCCAAAAAGCTCTGCACAAGACGTGACGCATGAGTGGGCATGTTGTTGTGATGAAGCTGCCCACAGCTGCGGCCTTTGAATCACCCAGATACTTTCCGTGGAAGAATGTCAAGCTTAATGCAAAATTTTATGCAGATCTGTTGCTCTACTTGGTCAGTCATTTTGAATGCAATGGCCACACGGTACCCATGCTCACTCAAAGGTGTATACCGCCCCCACTCACTAGTACTGTGAAATCACTGGTTCATGCACGCACATTCTAGTCTACTCTCCTTGGCTGCCAGGTCACATCGATGTCACGCAAACCATTCTCACTAGGGTAACAACAGTTGGACTTTTACCAGAAAGACCTTGTGTATACACACACACATAGGTGAAACCATTACCACAGTCAAGATGCTGAATATTCTCATCAACTCCAAAAGTTTCCTTATGCTCCTTTAGAATCCCTCTTCTCTTTTCCTCTCCACTCCATCCACCTCATCACTAGTCAACCACTGATTTGCTTTCTCTGACTACAGATACATGGCTGGTCATATGGGACATGTAGGTTTAACTTTTTAAGACATTGGCAAACTATTTTCCAAAGCGATTGTACCACTTTAAGTTCCCATCAGCAATGTATGATAGTTCTAGTTTTATCACATCCTTGTCAACACTTAATATGATCAGTCTTTTTTTTTTTTTAAGCAATCTATATACAACATCTCTGAATTATCTGTTCATATCTTTTGGCCATTTATTTACTGAGTCTTCGTTGTGTTTCTTGTCAACTTGCAATTTAAGGACATTAACTCTCTATTTTTCTAATACCGAAATTAGATTACATTCTGCATACTGTTTTATAATATACTTTTACTAGTCAATAACGTCTACCTTTCCATTTTAGAAAAAATTTCACCTAATACACAGAACATATCAATATTCTCTAACTGTCTCTAAAATGTGCTTTGTTTAGTATTCAGTTTAAGACCATGCATTTTCTCTAGTTGCTATTCAGTGCTTTCAAACACCAAGATAAAAAAAAAATTCACCAAAAAGTTTTCTTAATAATTGAGTTTTCCCACATAACTCTTTAATCACTAACAAACTGTTGAAGCACAATTTATTTAATAAGAGGTAGACACTTCATTTTTGCAGCCTATAGCCATATTAAGAAAGACAATCCTGGCCTTCTATACACCCTCCTTGTTTCTTCTGGTAGGGGCTGACTTCTGAACTAACAGACAATGAGTCTGATTCTATGGGGGTAATCCTTTCATCTTTTACTGTTTAATTTCCTTTTATAAAAATTTTTTTTCCCTTTTTTAGTCCTTTCTCGAGGACATGTTTATTGATCTGAGGGGGAGGTGAGACACACAGAGAAAGAAACATCTATGTGAGAGAGAAACATTGACTGGTTGCCTCCCATATACTCCCTGACCAAGGATCAAACCCATAACCCAAGTACATACCCTGACAGGGATGAACCCGCAGCATTCTGGTGTGCGGGATGACACTCCAACAAACTGAGCCACCTGACCAGGGCTACTGTTTAATTTTTTTACATCATCATTGTTGTAATAATAGCATTACCTATCACTTACTGTATGCTAAGTGCTATGTCAAATAATGTCATTCAGTCCTCATATGAACACTTCAACATAGGTAATATTTTTTATGAATAAGAAAAATGAGGTTTAGAGAGATTAAAAATGTAAACAATGGACACCCAGTTAGTTTGATGATAGAGTGGTAACTTGAAGCCATGTCTCTCTGACCCAAAGCTCATATGCTAAATCATCCTACTACCCTGACTCTCCTAAAAATGCTATACAATACAGGGTGGGGCAAAAGTAGGTTTACAGTTATGACTATGTAAAATAGCTTATTCTTGTATTAGTACTTATTAATTATTCTATTACTTTCCATATGAACTGTAAACCTACTTTTGCCCCACTCTGTCTGTATTTTTTAAAATTAAAATATTTGGATTTGGAAATATACTTTACTTTGTGAAAAAAGCAAGCTGGGCCCTGACTGGTATGGCTCAGTTTGTTGGGTGTCCCCCTGCAAAGTGAAAGGTCATTGGTTTGGTTTCCAGTCAGGGCACATGCACAATGCTTCTCTTCCTCTCTTTCTCCTTCCCTTCCCCCCTCTCTAAAAATAATATATATATATATACTTAAAAAGCAAGCTGGGATATAAAGAAAGACAAAATTGAGGGTTGCTGAGGTAAGAGTAAGGGCCTTTAACAAAGTGTAGGGATTCCAACCCTTCGGTACCTAGCGTATGCTCACAAAGACAGACTGCTAAGTAACAAGGTAGAGCTGTACTCAAAAGTGCACATACAGGCAAAAAGTACAGTACATGAAGCTTTGGAATCTGATTCCAAGAAGGCATAGGAAAGATAAAAAGAAACTCTCACCTCTATGCACAGCTGACTCCAGACACATCAGAAGGTAGGACAGCCTGGCTTCTCGGGACCGGGGAAGGTTTTCTACATTGCACCGGTATTTTTTTAAGTCACTCTTACAGGATTTGGCCAAAGAGTAGCTGACCTTATAATCTTGGGCAATCAGCTTTTGGCGGGTAGTTAGTGCTTCTCGACACTGAGTAAAGAGTGCAGTTGAGAACGTTATAAGGCTGCTTAGGTGGTTCAGCTGCTTGCATGTACCTCTCATGGCCACGTACATGTCAACAACTGCAGTTGTTACCAAAATCCCTAAGTTTGGTAAACATTGAACACAAGCATGCTAAACTAGTATGGCAAGAGGCAGAAGTACATGGGTGGGGAGCCCTGGAATTCTACAGTGAATCCCGGATTGCAGCTGGAATAGCAGCTGTCCCTACCACATACATGTTTGGGAGATTCTAATACATGAACTTGACAAAGTATTCTTTTTCTCTTCAACAATATTCTTAAAGTATTTTATCAGAATCAAAGTGGCAACTAACATGATATACTAGAAGTTCGCTTCTATACTTTTTAAATATAATTACTCAACAGTAAAGGAACCGAAATGAAAAACATTTCCTTAGCTGCTTAGAAAGTAAATGACAAGATAAAAAAACAAAAATAATTACTTTAAAGAGTTATGAAAAAAGATTCTTGCATTCATACAGGTACAGAGGACTAACAGTAATGAATATGATTAATGAGACATCTGCTGAAAAATTAAATAGCTAACTACCCATGAAGCACATTGGTTTGGTTAGCCTAAACTTCCTGAGAATGTGGGACTGGCTTCAGTGTCATTCTGATATAAAATTCTCCAATTTTACTCTCCAAACTGAGTCCCAACTGGCTTCCCAATGTCCAAATATCACAATTAAAGCTTCATTTTCTTGGCTTAAGAAAAGTATGCTTTGGTTTCTTACTAATAGCCAAGTAAAAGGTTTATCAATCATTTATTTTGGCATCAGTTTAGAAGAAGAATATTAGAAGAGATGATTTAAGAAAACTTTTAGGAAATGAATGAAATACTGGTTTATTTTAAAGTAATACTTACCTTTTCACTCATGGATTCTTCAAATTTATGGTTGAAGAGGCATTTATATACTCTGCCTTCACCAGCTTGTGTCTGTAAAATGAAACATACCCATTATGCTGGACATTATCCATAATCCTGTATATATAACCTTCTGTTACAGTAATATAATGTGAGTACCTTTGAACAAATGGCTCAGCAGTTTATAAAACTTAGTAGCCTTTGAAAGAATACTGTACACCTCTAGTAAAGATGAAAGATTTTATTTATTTCTTTTTAGAAAGGGAAGGGAGGGAGAAAGAGAGAGAGAGAGAAACATCAATGTGTGGTTGCTGGGGGTTGGTCTGCAACTCAGGCATGTGCCCTGACTGGGAATCGAACCTGCGATGCTTTGGTTTGCAGCCTGTGCTCAAACCACTGAGCTACGCCAGCCAGGGAAAGATGAAAAATTTTATCATAATGTCTGACTATTGTTATTTATTCCCAGATACACTGTTAATCAGGGAATGAAGGGAAATGTCAGTCTCCCTTTTTACAAAATAAAACTCTTGTAATTAGTGGCTGTGATGGTTAAAGCTGTTAAAGCAAAACAGCAGGCAGAGTGGGAGTACACACGACTCACGCTCAGTTCTTTGTTGTAAAGATGGAAGGTTCTACTTAAAGTGTCAGAAGGTTGTTCCACAGGGTTTGTGGGTAGTAATCAGGGATTTGGTTTTAAATACTAGCCACCTGTTTTGTTTTGTTTAACTTTAGCCCAAAATATATAAATGTAAGTATGTAATATGGCAAAGTTTTAATCATGGGGTAGATGTGCACTAGATTCCCTGGTAAAACAGGATTCCTATTGATAAAATAGACTCCCAAGAACTGAAATTGAGACATTAGATAAAGTAGAAAAAAGTAATGTATGTAGATTGTCAGAGCCAAATGTCAACCAGATGTTCCATCAAATCTGAGCAGCCAACATCCTTTTCTGTTATCCTGAGACCAACTCCACCTTCCATTTTCAGTAGCTTTTCTACATGTGAGGTGTGTGTTGGCTTCTGTTTTTCTGTAACAGAGTATCTAAAAATATTTAAAAAGAAAAGGAAAAGAAGAACAGTTTCCGAACTGACTCACGTTTTCACAAAAACGCTCCCGATCATCTCGGCAAGCAAAATATAAATGCCGGTCTAAATGAAAGTCATCCGAGGACAGCTCGGCCACCCGCAGAATGGCTTTCTTGCAGAGTTCAGAGACCTGAATCTTGGGGTCTCGTTCTTCTGCTTCCTTCACCAGGCCTTTCTCCAAGCATGACACCACCTCGCCTTGTGAGTGTGCATCCTAGAGCAGTGAGAATAATGTTTTAAAGCTCTCACCACAATGCCTTTCAACTAAATGTCATCTGGTTAAAAAAACAATACATAGTTAGCTTACTGATGTACTATTAAGAAATCAGATGGGAACTAACCACATTATAGGTTACAGAAAAATGTCTTCAATAATCTTTAGTTAGAATGTAATACTTACATGGTACAAATGGAAATAGAGATACTGGGAAATTAAGTATAGTTTAGCTAATAATAGAAATAGGAGCCTGAGTTCCTAAAGTTTAAAATGTCAGAAACATTAAAAGAATTACATCAGCCTAATGTTCTAAGCATAGTTCACGTTCATACTGAAGTAACACTGCAGAAATTTCTATTCCTTAATCTTTGAAGGGCTATTTCCCAAGTAATAGTATTTTTAGTCAAGTAAAAAAAAAACCCCACAAAATCCACTGAGAAAGAGTACTACAGAGACACTGTTTCTCCTTTTTTCTATTCTATATTGCCCACAAAGACTCAAATGTGTACAATCTGTAGTATAATATTCACTTGGTGTTTTGGATTTATCTTATTGTGATTTTAATGAGATCACTACTATTTATACAACTGGGTTTATTTTATGTTTTAAAATTGATTATGCTATTACAGTTATCCCAATTTTTCCTTTACACCCAGACACACAGCAACCCCACTCCCTCGGGCAATCCCCACACCACTGTTCACCTCCATGGGTCACACATATAAGTTCTTTGGCTACTCCATTTCCTATACTGAACTTTACATCCCCATGGCTATTCTGTAACTACCTGGTTGAACTTCTCAATCCTCTCACCTCTTCATCCATCCCCACGTACATCCCTCCTATCTGGCAACCATCCAAAAGTTCTCCAAATCCAGAATTCTGTCTCTGTTCTTCTTGTTTGCTTAGATTGTTTTTTAGATTCAACTGTTGATAGATATGTATTTATTGCCATTTATTTGTTCAGAGATCATATCTACTTTATCTTAAATAAGGCCCTTTAATATTTCATATAATAATGATTTGGTGATAACGAACTCCTTTAGTTTTTTCTTGTCAGGGAAGCTCTTTATCTGTCCTTCAATTCTAAATGACAGCTTTGCTGGGTACAGTAAGTAACCTTGGCTGTAGGTCCCTGCTTTTCATCACTTTGAATATTTTTTGCTAATCTCTTCTAGCCTGCAAAGTTTCTTCTAAGAAATCTGCTGACAGTATAATGGGAACTCCCCTGTAGCAAACTGTTTTTGCTTGCTGCTTTTAAGATTCTCTTTATCTTTAAACTTTGGCATTTTAATGATGATGTGTCTTGGAGTGAGCCTCTCTGCATCCAAGTTGTGTGGGACTCTGTGCTTTCTGCACTTGCATGACTATTTCCTTCACCAAATTAGGGAAGTTTTCTTTGATTATTTTTTCAAACAGTTTTCCAATTTCTTGCTCTTTTTCTTCTCCTTCTGGCACCCCTGTGATGAGAAAATGTTGGAATGCTTGAAGTTGTCCCAGAGGCTGCTTACACTATTCTTGTTTTTTTTGGATGCTTTTTCCTTCTTGTTCTGATTGCTTGTTTTTTTGCTTCCTTATGTTCCAAATCATTAATTTGATTCTTGGCTTCATGAACTCTACTGTTATTTCCTTGTAAACTGTTCCTTATTTCAGGCAGTGTATCCTTCATTTCTGACTGGATCTTTTTTATGCTGTTGAGGTCCTAAGTTCCTTGAGCACCCTTAAAACCAGTGTTTTGAACTCTGCATCTGGTAGATTGCTCATCTCCATTTTGTTGTTTAGCCCTTGTTCTAGAGTTTTCACCTATTCTTTCATTGGGGCTATGTTTGTCTCCTCATTTTGGCAGCCTCCCTGTGTTTGTTTCAATGTATTAGGTAGAGGTGCTATGACTCCCTGTCTTGGTAGCATGGCCTTATGTAGTAGGTGCCTTGCAGGGTCCACTGGTACAGCCTCCCCTATGATCCAAGCTGGGTACTCAAGGTGTGCCCTCCATGTGGGGTGAGTACATGTATCTCTTGTAGTTGAGCCTTGATTGCTGTTGGCAGGTTAATGGGAGGGATTTACCCAGGTCAGTCAGCTACAAGAACTGGCTGTGACCACTCACTACCAACCTCCACCCTCTGTGGAGGATCAGCCATGCAGGGAAGGGCGGTGATGCTCAGACATGGTCTGTAGCTGTCCACTGGGTGTACAGGCTCTAGTGTTTCCCAGGTAGTATAGGCCAAGGTCAGCCCCCACATGTGTTCTGCCCAGAACCACCCTGCATGAACTATAAAACAATCTGAGATTGCTGCTACTTGTGTTGGGCTTGGAGATTCCCAGGTGAAGCCAAGCTGTGAATCTAGGCTGGCTGTAGCAAGTGTTATGCTTGGGATCACTTAGCAAGAGGTACAGAGGCTAGGGGCTTACTGAGGCTGGCTGCTGCTTGTTTAGTAGGACTTAGGAAGTTGTAAAGCATGAGCCTTGGCCATTTATATGGAAAAGTCATGGTTAACAGTTTGGGTGGACCCATAATTTGGGTTGGATGAAGTCTCAGGAAATGTCCAGGGCAAGGCAAACAGTGTTAGCCAGGTTGATGGGGACCCAGATATAATACCCATTGCCAGCTCTATGGGGGAAGGGCTCAGTAAAGAGACAATGGCCTCTGCCCACCTTTCTGTCTGGGATAAAGCTGTCCCCCAGCTCCCTCCTTGATGCCAGGCACTTCAATTCCTCTCTGTACGCCAATGGTGCCTTCTGAGCTGCTACCCCAGTGCTAGAGCTTAGAGGGAGTGAGTTTGAGTAAGTCCATGTATAGGTCCTTTAAGGGGAACTGCCTAGGAAGCAGAAGTTTCTTCCACCAACTCAATCCCCACTGGTTTTTGCAGCCAGAAGTTGTGTAGACTTATCTTCCTGGCACTGGAACCCTAGGCTGAGGGGCCTAGTGTGGGGCTGGGACTCCTCCCTACCAAGATATCCCTCCAGAATTTTTATCCTTCCGTATGTGGATTTGGGACCATCCCATTCTGTGACTCTGCCACTCCTACCAGTCTGGACAGATGCGGTTTCTTTAACTCCGTAATTGTCAGACTTCAGTTCAACTTGAATTCTGATGGTTCTGAGTGATGGCTGTTCTATAGTTCAGTTGTAATTTTGATGTGGTGTTAGAGGCAAGCCATGTTTACCTATGCCGCCATCTTGACCGGAAGTACTATTGCTTTTGAGAGCTTTCTAAAACCATGCAATTACCTTTAATTGTGCATTGCATCATCCTCATAGCAACCACAAGCATTTATTCATTCAAAATATGAGAAACTTCCCCTGAATATTTTCTACTCAAGAGTCCTAATCTTCATACTCAAAAGATATGCTTCAATAACTTCAGAGGTATAACCTTTAATAGAGCAAGACAAAGCAGCAGAAAATAGAGTGCTATCATTTATTTACAGATACACACACATAAAATCTTGTTATAGTATGATACCCTGTACATGGAATCATCTGTACATAATAAAAAGGCCCCTCAAACCAGAAAGGCAAACATCTACTTTAACCAAAATTTCGTTTCAATGAAAGTATAGTTTTTTCTATTTTGTTGTAACGGAGTTTGTCCTGCAGCACACCACTTTCCAAGTAGTACCATGAAAATGTTCATGTTCTCTTCTAATATATCTGCTAAGTGGGGATAAGAGTGGTGGCACTTACTGTGCAGATAAGCAAACAGAGGCTTAGAGGAGTTTATCAATTCATCTGAGTTACAGAATGTAATGTGACTTGTTAGGACCCTGGGGCTCTAGGAACCTCCTAAGATTTGTAGGTGGGTTTTGTATATTTTTTCCAAGGAAATTTCATAGTTTTCATTAAATTTCAAAAGGTTTGATGACCCCCAAAAGATCAGGAAGCACAGTATACCAGCAGATTCTCACTTCTTAACCTTTCTCACTAGCTGAATAGTTAGTTCTGTTTAATGCTTGGAAACCTAAGATGACCAAAAATTTTTTTGGAGAGTAATTCTAAACAGATAAAACTCTCAGGGACTAGTGACAAAAAGATGATGACACAGAGAAAAGTGGACACAATGCTCCAGAAATCCAGAGTAAGCTTTATTTTTTCCTTCCTAAGTTATGAGTAATATTCAAATCTGTCCATGACCCACTTAGGGAAGGCCTGCTTATTTCCACTTTCCACAGGAAAAACGAATGTATGATAACAGATTTGAACAGAAATATACCAGTCATGTATTATTCACAGTATATAAGAGATTATCATAAACAGGGTTTTAAATTATAAAAATATGTTCTATATGAAATCTTAGTAGCCCATAATAACTTACTTACATGGTTGCTAGCAATTAAGTCTTAATCATATAAAAGAGGTTGAAAATGATAGCATGATAATCAAACCTGATTTAGATTCAGTATTTGGTCCTGGCATCATAGGGTAAAGGAATGATTTCCATGTAATGAATTGAAATATTTCCCTATATACCATTAGTAAGTACCAACTAGGCCTATTATATCTTACATTTGCTTCTTATTGGATCTAAGAAGGTATCATCATGGTTTGCGACCACCCAAGGTTCTGAGATTTAATTTTAATTATACCAATTGTAGCATCACATATTGGCATTGGGCCATAACAGGGCCTCCATTAGATGTTTTCATTCATCATAACTTTAGATAGATGCTCTTTCAAATAAAGGTATTTCAGGAATTCTTCTCAGTTCCCCAGAGTCTCTGAGCTTTTTATTTCAGCCCATTTGAGTTATATAGTGCATGCAAATATCTGACAAAGAAAACTGCATGGCTAATTACTGAATATATATGAAAGCAAGGAAGTGAACTATACACCAGCGCATTATCTACAAGAAAATAAAATGACTTAGCTTAAAAAACATTAAGTTGTTAATACAGAGGCTTGACATATAAATAACAAATGATCCTGTAAGTGGACTTACCATGAATTTTTAAAATTCCACTACAGTGAGACAGATATCTGTCTTAAAATTATTCCTAGTGTCCTGATCAATTTTTAGCAGTTTGATAAGTAATGTACTTTTCTCTCCCATATACTATGTCCCTGCACCACCCCCCTTTTAAGAATAGAAAGGGATAACACTAAACCAATCTCAAAAAGGCAGGCAAGAACTCAGTTTTCATCTCTGCTATAAATTCTCTATTTCAATGTTTTTGGTATCTTCTGTGATCTGTATCACTACACAAAAAGAAAAAGAATATCTGAAGTATTCAAAGTAGTTGGTTAAAAGCAGGCAATGATAAAGTGATGTAATTACTGAGTGAAAAGTATAAAAGTAGTAATAATATGGCTCATGTCCATAGTAAGTTCCTATACTGGATGCCACATTCTATTTTCTCTTCTGATGATGTATATCATTTACACTATTACTTTTGGAGATCTTCACTTTCATTTTAGCAATATTTATTTAGAAAATTCTAAAGATCTTATTAATATATAGTCTTTGGTTCTATGTTTTATATATAGTAACATTTTGGAAAAAATCATCATGGTTTTGAAATCATGACATTTATATGCTCATACAGAGGAGAGTACAAACAGGTTTTAACCATGACCCTTTCTCCTCTGATCTTTGAACTGAGTCCATTCAAAGCCAAAGAGGAGTTTGCAAGCTTCAGTGGCAACAAATTTGAAATTGATGAACCTGTTCTCTTCTGTGGTCAGGAGCTAACTCATTATTTTCCAGGATAATTTTCATATCTAAATGACTAGCTACAGAGAAGTAAACTACAGTTAGAAAAGGCAAAGAAGGGCTGAGGACATGCTTCCTCATTTTTAAAACTGGCTGTAGCAACAGAGTGGATTATATAGGAAGGAACATGCTTTCAGAAGTGCAGGCATGAGTCAGTCATGTTACTGTGCCCAAAATACAAGAAAGCCTTTGATGCCAAAGTTGGAGTGCCTGGTATAAACAGAAATTCACCTAACTGCAGGTATAGTAAAAGATAAAAATGAGCAAAATATGCATGTTGATGATCCACGGAAACATCTTTTGTTATTTTAACAAAGGTGAAAACCCTCATTGTCATGTCTTTGGGCTCTGGCTCTACTATTTTCTGCAACCATTTCAGTCACTGCAGACTAAACTCTTACATGCTACTGAAAGCAGGTTTTACACTGACAATTCAGATTGCAGGTGAGAAGCTAACTAGAGATTATTTTGGCAGTCATTAGGCAAGAACTACTACACAGACAGGTGAATCTACAGCATGGACCACTTATTTACAACTATGAAAAAGTGTCATCACTGATTTTTGGAAAGTATGTCTGGAACACTCATGTGAAGATTTTAAAAAGAGTGAGGATTGGAATTGAATATAATCTCCAATACCCTAAATAAACTAGAGGAGCTTCCTGAATTATCAGGGTGACTTAAGTGTTTTTGTGCCATTTCTAGAATCTGCTGGGAAGGGGGAAAAAAACCTGCCTTCTTTATTAAAATGGGTCTTTATTTAGCTGCCTGAAAGCTGTATGCCAAGTTCATAATGCTCTCAAGATAGACTCAGAGGTGCCCTATGAAAGAGCCAGAGCCCTGTGCTGGTGCGAAGGAAAGGGTACTTGGTGACAGCCAGACAATAACCAGAACTAAAACCTTCAATGGAACCGGTGTGTCAAGTCTGCAGTTCTGGCACATAGTATCATGCTCTCTTTCCTCCGGGAGAGAAAACTGCAAAGCATGGTGCAAAGAATAAATAGGAACAAGGAGACAAGCGGATTTTATTCTTCTTCACATTTCCTAAACAGCAGACTGATGAACAGTGGCAACTAAGAGCTAATGCCATATGCATGCCCTAGACTATTTCTCCTACTGGCACCTATTACTTCTCAGGAGTTTCTTTCATTTTTTCTGAGCAAACAAATTCAGAATAAACCTGGTTAAACCTCCATTATGACCTTCTAGATAACAGACGTTAAGTAAAAAAATAAGATGAAATATAATAAAGGAAGAAGAAACTAGTAGGTAGGTAGTTATTTTCTTCCCTGTCTTTATTAAAACTAATTCTTCTGAGATGAAGGTAATAGATCACATTTCTTCTGACAAACTAGAAAGAAGTCCTTTCACATAACTTAAAATTTTCTAATATTTCAATATCTTCTTTTGTACTGGTGTGCTGAGTGATTTTTTTTTTTTTTATGGCAACAGTGAGGTACATGCAGACAAAGTTTTGAGAACTCAAGTCTCTCCTAACCCAACTACTATTCCCATAAGACAACACATTTTGCCAGAGAATGTTATAGGTAACCAGCAAGTGGTTTAGTATTTTGAAGATACTACTCATAGCAGGTATTAATTCCTCTACTTCTCCATACCTTTGGAATATTTTGTCACAAACAGATGAAATTCAACTAGCCTTAGATCTTGGGGCTGCCTGGGACTTCAACTTTAAGGCTACCTGCAGCCCTAAATTTTTTCCATGCCAGTTATACAATGCTTTTCATTTATCAAGTTCGTAAGACCCCTTTGGTAAAGCCAGTGTAGTACCTACCTTTTCTCCAAGCCGAATGCTGCCACATTTCAGAAGGTTGATATCATTTTTGCAGTCATCCATGAAGCCACAGATGAGACGGTAATCACTGAAAATGATGGCTGTCATCTTGGTGATGTACTGGTGACACTGGTACTCAGTGATGTTGCCTCGGTGATCCACCAAGCAGGAAACCAAATAACCTTTTCCTACTGGTTCATCAGCACATTCTTTAATCTGCTCAAAACAAAGTGACTGTCTTACAAAAGTATTCTATTCTCACATCAAACAACTTTTTAAAAAATTTTTATTTTTATTTATTTTTAGAGAGAGGGTAAGAGGGGAAGGAAGACACAGGAAGAAACATTGACGTGAGAGAGAAACATCCATTTATCAGTTGCCTCTGGTACATCCCCAACTGGGGACCAAACCTACAATCCAGGCATGTGCCCTGACTGGGAATTGAACCAGTGACCTTTCTCTTTGCAGGATGATGCTCAACTGAGCCACACCAGTCAAGGCTCACATCAAACAGTTTTTACAAAAGAACATCTGATATATTCATGTTCATAGTGTGTCTAGCCTACTCAGCTTGTTATGCTCTCTAGGAAATACCCGATTAATGTGTTTTGCAAGAAGATACATACAAACATACACACACGCACACACATGCACGCTAGATAGAACTCATGTCCAAATGAAGTAAAAAAAGGTGGTAAAACTTTCAGCTTTATTGAAATATAACTAAAGAGAGCTTTTAACATTCAAAATGGTTCTACTGAGAAATTCCTTTATGTATGCAAAGAATGCAATGGACAGCAAGGAGATTAATCTAGAGAACAGGTCTGGAAAACAGGTGCAGAACTGAAGTCAGGTTGCAAGCCCAGCTACACAACAAACTATTGTTAAGTAAACCTAAGGGCCAAGGGGAGGGAGGAGGGAGAAAAGGCATAATATTACTTCTTGACATGACATTAATGTGTTCTGAATTAACTATAAATATGGACATGTGTTTTTGAGTTTAGTAAAATCTCAGCTTCACCACTGTCGTCTGGAACAGAATTGTGTTTAAAGTAATGTTCAGTGTAGTCTGGCAAGAAGTTTGTGAAGGGGAAGGCCACTGCAAATCTAATTTGTGTGGTTTCAACATAAGATCTAGTGGATCAAGCACACAGTGATTTCACATGGTTATTGGTCCTGCGAAGTGTGTATCAAACTACAAGTGCTAATGAAGCAAATTAACCCAAAATGCTGAAATTCAAATCTACTTACAGGGTTACAAGCTTGGATTACACAAAGCAAAGAAGGTTGTTTGGAAAAAACCTATTATTGCATTTGGAGAAATTAAAAACAAAAATAGCAATTTTGAGAAGAGAAAGGAACCAAGTATAAATGTTCATTCTGAATATAAATGAAAAGGGAATTTTTTGGTTTTACTGTTTCTTCTTCTTTTTTTAAACCAATGGAGACCGTTCTCCACTATCACATCACTTAACATAAATGTGTACATAGGGCAAAACAAATACAACCTCTTTCCCAAGAGATGCTGCGTGAAGGACGCACCACACATTACACTCTAGGCCGCTGGGTCTCTTCATGTCTAACTCCAGACCAAGTCAAAGACTCCATTCAAGACAGAAAACTGTGTTTACTTTTAAAGAAGCAAACTTTGGAATTTAAGTAAATAGTCTCACACTGGCTTCAAGAGGCATGGATCTTCAACCGTCAAGATGAATGCAATTATTTCAGCCTAACCTCGATCTCTTTTTTTGTGATGGCTAAAAAGTCGGCCATAAATATTGTTCCCAAGAGAAGGATTTTTTTTTTTGAGCAAACCAGAATTCAGTTCAAAAAGTGAAAGGAGAAATAACTCCTTGAAAATTTCAGCACTCGGCAGACACCTGGGTTTGAAAATTTAATGAAGTAGAAATTTTCATATAGAGTCTAATACTAGAGAATTGGCAGTTTAAAAATCTGAAGAAAACACAAGACTACAAGTTAAACTGGAGCCTCAATAAGAAATGGAATGTATATTTACTTCTAATCACTTTGAGATTTTACTGAAACACAGAAATGTAGTATCTATTTGCATTTTAGTTCACCACCCATTATAATAGGCTGTGTAGTGTTTGAATTAGAAATTTATGCTTTTCTTCAACCATTCTATTGGACAGAAGTTTACTATAAAAAAAAATCCAAGATTAATAGCAAAAAACAGCATTAAATCATCAACATATTGATGAATAGGAGTAAACTCTGAAGTGGCAGGGGGCAGATCCACTCTATTTCTGACATGAGGACAGGAGAGAAGCTGGCAGTATTTGGTTCAATCATGGAGAGCACATAAAAAGTTTGGCTTGTAGTTTGCAAGTATTCGTGTGTTGCTATTTTTCTCCTTGGAAGTAGGATTCCAAAATCAGGAAAGAAGATAGGAAGGAGATGTAGAATAAAATATTTAGTTTACAACTATATTTTTCCTGATATTTAATTTTCCTGACTCCTGTATAATATCCTTCCAGGAAGGGAGAAGTGCCCTTATTACTTGAATCTTTTACAGAATCACAACACTCCAAAATGTTACGAGGCGGCCATCGTTACATATGCATTATAAGGAAGTCAGTGTGTGTTTATGTATGTCATTCCCAATGTATCTATCTTCATTCCTTTAAAACCTTTGATACCCTATACATGGTGTCTGAAATATAATTTAAATGTGTATATAAAATATATATAAATAAAATAAGCAAAGAGTGAAATCATTCAGATAAATCTGCATATATTCTGAGCTAAATTCCCACACGGCAATGAAACTGGTATGTGTAGCTAGTCATATGGCTAGCCAAGGGAGTTTGAGGAGAAAATACTGAAACTAGAAGCTAAAGAGCACTGTTTCAAAGATATGCTATTCTATTCTGAAGCCCAAGGGTAACAGGAAGAAGAGTCATTGTTATAAAAGAATAAAACAGCCCTGGCTGGGTGGCTCAGTTGGTTGGAGCATCATTCGTGCACCAAAAGGTTGTGGCTTCTATTCCGAGTCAGGGCACATACCTAGGTTGAGGGTTCAATCCTGGTCGGGGTGCGTACAAGAGGGAATGGGTCCATGTTTTTCTCTCTCCCTTCCTCCCTCTCCCTCTATAATAATCAATAAACATGTCCTCTGGTAAGGATTAAAAAAGAAAAGAATAAAACGTAACTGATCCAAGATCAGAAGGCTTGAGGAAGAAACAAGTTCTACAGGATCCCATAACAACTTCCAAGAGGATCACAAGCTGAGGGCTTATCTGGTTGGAGCAGGACCTTCCTTAAGGGCTCAGGAGAAAATGAGAAAATGATCCCAACTTAAGTCATCAAATAGGGTAGCTTGAGGACAGATCTACATGTTGCAGGATCTACGATTATTAACTTTGAGGTGGAAAAATAGCAACTGTGTGCTTTGTGATTCTTATACTTCAATATACAGAAATCTGTCTTTCTAGAATTTCTATCACTGATTGCAAAAAATAAAATAAAATACAATAAAAATTTCAATACCACAATTTTCACTAACATTAGTCACCATATTTTTCAGACCATAAGATGCACCTAGGTTTTAGAGAAAAATAGGGGAAAAAATTTTTGAAGCAAAAAATGTGGTAAAGTATTTAATAACATAAATAACATAATATTTTACCAATGCAAATGTAAACAGAACTCAACAGCAGCATTAGCAACCATTATTCCTCCCAAATGGGGGAGGGGGGTCTTACATTCTGAAAAATACAGTATTCTACACTAAGCCAAGAGAAATGATTGAAAAATTTCCCCAATTAGTATCCATACAATGCCACACATTTTCATTACTTATTTCTGTCTTTATATTCAACATCCACTTATAACAATCTATACAATCTTTTTATACTCCTTTTTAATACTAACTCCTATCTGAAGCATATTCCCCTGTGGTTCAACTGATCCAACTGTCCGGTCAAAATATTCAGAAACAGTTACAAGCCTCCTGGGGAAACCATTTCTGTATGCCTCAGACATAAGCAGACTGTGACATGTGCGAGGGGAGGCTGACGAAAGGAGCAGGTGTATTCTCTGGGTTCCCACAGAGCCTGGTTACCAGCTTGTCTGAGTCAACAGCATCCTACTGCAAGTGCAGGTGAACGTGAACAAAGAGAAGTCTAATTACACTGCGCTGGGCCTGTCTCTCAACCAACACAGATGTGAATTCCAAGAAAAGTAAAGTAAATGAATGAGTCATTCCTCCCTTAATAACTGGTCAGGTAAACAGACGTAATGTTCTCTTCAATTTCATTAAATACCCACAAAATTCTTTTACAACTTACCTCTGATAAGGTAGATTTGCAAACTTCTCTGGCCACAGATTCAAATTTCGGATCTTTAGTTAGGTTCAGCTTATAATTCCACAACAACTAGGTATAAGAAAGAAACAAACAAACAAACTTCAGTTCGAATTGTATGACACCATCAACTATGATAAATGTAAGTGATTTATAATAAATTATGACACCAATAAATGATGATAGTTCATCATATAGTCAGACAAAGCATACTCACATTTCAGTTAATGAACAGAAAAGGAAAACAAAATATCATTGAATTTATAGGCAAAAGGAAAAAAGGTACAGACAAAACAAACACTACCATTCAGATATCCTTTTTTCTTTTTTTTACGTAAGGGTAATTTTTTAATGCCAAGAAAAAAATCAAACACCAAATCCCTGATGAAGTTTTCAGAGAAAATATTAATAGGTAGTAGAAGCTAAATTCTGCTTAAACCAAAAAGCCTAACCCAAAAGTTCTAATTATGCATGTCAGAAATTCACCATAATTAAAGCTCAGAAAAGCAAGTACTGAATTTAATCAAATGCCTTTTAATGTGTCTATTGAGATAACACGATTTTTCTTCTTCAATGAGATTAATTTTTCAAATATTAAATTTAACCTCAATTCTGAAGTAAAACCAATGCTGTCTTGATGTATTTCCCTTCTTATATTTTACAGGATTCAATTTGATACTAATTTGCTTAGCATTTTTTCATCTATGGTTCATGAGTGACACTGGCCAGTGTTTCCTTTCTTGTTACATCCTTGCTAGGAGACAGTGAGGTTACATCAGCCCCGTAATGAACAGGAGAATGTTTCCCCATTTTTATTTTCTGAAAGACTGTTGTTATTCTTCTGTAAAATTTTGGATTTCAATAAATCCATCTGGCCTTGGAGGTTTCTTCTCTTTTCTATGACACCAACTGTCCCCTTTTCTGTATACTATTGTCCCTATTTTCCTTTCATATCCTTCCTATTCTCTAGTCCTTGGGGTTGTAAGGCACAGATAAGCTTCTTTTTGAGCTTCCCCTCTGCCAAATTGATTCAACTGATGAATTTTGAAGTTTTTCCCTAATTTTTTTTTGCTTTATAAATAATGCCATAGCAAATATCCTTTTATAGACACATTTTAATCCATTCTTTTAAGTAAAATTACACATAAATTCTAAGTAAGAAATGCTGGACCAAAGCACATATGCATTTTAAGATAGTGCTTTATAAATAAATTTTTCTTATTTATATTCCTGTTTTTAGCCAGAGCAGAATTCAGCAAACTTTTTCTGCAAAGGGCCAGAAAGTAAATATTTTAGGTTTTGAGGAATCTATTAGTCAGTCACTTCTGCAACTACTAAATGACTTTAAGATGACTAAATAAAACCACCTTACAATAGAGAAATCTAAATTGTAAACTTGATAAGCACAGAAACAATTATTTCATGTGGTAGCTAAAGGAAAATTTAATCTTAAGTACAGCAATATTATTATTATTATTGCAAATATTATTTGACAAAACCTGCTGGTTTCTACAGTGGAGGGATATTTGTAAATTTACCATGGCCCTTAAACAGGATTTATCATTCTCTTTTTAAGATTAAGAGAATTTCACAAAATATAACATTTCCCAGAACAACAGGAAAAGCATCCCAAAACTTGTCGTCATATATCGAAAGCACATATGGTGAATTATGAAAAAGTCATACTTACATGATTACAATCTGAAGAAATTTCATTTTCAGGCTAAAAGGAAAGAAAAAAAATGAGAGGGTGCTTAAAAAATCTTAAATCTCAAGTTTTCAAACACCACCAAAATAAACTCAAAACAAGAAATCTGAATATTCAACTAAATATGTTTCTTCAATACAAGGAGTAAAGTGGGGCTCATATATCTTTTAGATTGCTGGGGAGAAATACGACAGGAAAGCAGATGAGATGCAATCCTTTCCCAATCAACAGTACAATCTGGAGAAGGGGAAAATGCAGAAGCACTCGGTTATACTGGAGCTAATGCAAAAGTGACAAGAGGATCTTTACACGACACTTCATAATTCTGACAGATAAAGAGCATCAGGTAAAATAAGGGTGTCCTTTCTTTAAAGAAAGTTAGAAATCTAAAGAAAAAATGGGATTATTAAAAAGGGCAAAAAGGTCCATCAATAATTTAAAAATTAGTCTCCTGTCACCATTTTGGGAAGGTAGGTAATGTGTACACAGAACTTCTATGTACTATGTTTGTAACTTCTATGAGTCTATAATCTTGCAAGTCTATAATTAAAAATATAAAATTTAGAAAACCAGAAATATATATATATTCATATTTTCCCTTGAATACATTTGTTTAATAAAACAAGGTACCTGCACCAGAGATAAAATACACTTTGAATTCCAGTGACAAAAAAGGTAGACTAGGTTATGCCTAATATTGCATAGCTTTGCAATACACATTTCCTTTAGTTCCCTTGTTCATAAAATTAAAGGAGATACAATTGTAATAATACACATCACAATAAAGTACCATTTCCTTTGAGTTTCCATAGCATCCCAACCTGTTCAAAGGCAATTCTGTGTGCCTTCCATGAAATATTACCAGTGTAGGTTGTGAAAAGTATCATTTTCAAAATAAAAAGATTCTTTCTATTTAAGGATAAGTAAAAGACAATAAAGAAAATAGTGCCCCGGCTGGTGTAGCTCAGTGGATTGAGCATGGGCCTGCAAACTGAAGCACCACCAGTTCAATTCCCAGTCAGCGCACATGCCTGGGTTGCGGGCCAGGTCCTCCGTAGAGGGGTGTGAGAGACAACCACACTTTGATGTTTCATTCCCTCTTTTTCTCCTTCCCTTCCCCTCTCTCGAAAAATAAAGAAATAAAATCTCTAAAAGAGAGAAGGAAATAAAAGAAGGAGCTCCTACCCTTCGCGACAGCATGGATGTAACTAGAAAGCATTATGCTAAGCAAAATAAGCCAGGCAGTGAAAGACAAATACCATATGATCTCACCTTTAACAGGAATCTAAACAACAAAACAAACAAACAAGCAAAATATAACCAAAGACACTGAAATAGAGAATAGACTGACAGTGTGCAGAGGGGAGGGACTTTCAGGGGAAAAGGGGAAGGGTTTACAGGAACAATTATAAAGGACACAGGAACAAGTATAAAGGACACATGGACAAAAACTAGGGGGGGTGGAAATGGGAGGGAGGTGAGGAGGGCTGGGTGATTGGGCTGAGATGGGAATAAAAGACAGAAAACTGTACTTGAACAACAATTAAAATAAAATTTAGAAAAAAGAAAAGAAAATAGTAAGCCCTGGCCAGATAGCTCAGTTGGTTAAAGTGTTATCCTGATACACCAAGGTTGCGAGTTTGATCCCTGGTTGGGGCACATAACAAGAATCAACCAATGAATACATAACTAAGTGGAACAACAAAACTGATGTCACTCTCAAATAATTTTTTAAAAAAAATTTTTTAAAGAAATTGGTAAATATTAACAAACTGAGCAGCCACACCTAATATCACTTCAAGAAGAAAAAGTTTCCAGGAAACTTGATTTCACTGCAGGACTTAGTAGCCATCAATACTAATATAAAAACTCATTTTTAATACTTATTAATCAAATATTTTATTAAAACTGACTTTAACAGATTGCTAGGTAATTGTAAGATCATAACATAGCACTTCTGAACTTTCTCCCTACTTGTCTAAGTAACAAAAGATATTTTAATGCATTTTCTGAGGTGCCTTTCTGCATCTGAGAAATCAACCTCCTACTATGAGTTAATCTAGTAACTCTGTTCCCTACACTTCACTTCCAAATGCATAATTTATCTCTCTTAAAAGTCTAGTATCAAAAATGCTTTTTGTTCAGGCAGTTTTCTAACTTATACCCCTTTAATCCCTCCCTTAATTTTTTCAATCAATCAGCAATTCTAGTTCTTACTCAAACAAAGCGTGGAAGGTAATTAACATCATTATTATTTCTACTCATACTCATTTCTGCTAAACAATAACTTTAGATTAAAGGGCTACTCTTTAAAGAAATTCAGAGCACTGGAGAATTTTCAAAATAACATAGTTAATAAGATGTAAGTTACCCATGGGGAAAAAGTGTTGTCATGTTTAGAGTTGAAAGGGACCTATTATAGCAAATTTATGACTGTTTTAATGCTTGCTTCCCAAGAGTGGTAGATTGAATGATTTCCCTCAGTTTTCCACTCTTTAATAGAATTTGAGAGCCAGACCTTTTGCCCTGTAACTCTGCACGGCCCACTGCCTGGACCGAGGACACATCCATCCTGCTCCACTGATGTTCCCCTGATGTTAGGCAAGGCCATGGACTTGCACTAGCTAGTGGGACTTTAGCAGACATAACAAGAGCATAGACTTTAAATGTGCTTGGGTGGTTTGACTTGTATCCTCATACTCCTGAGAATGTGTCCAAGTATTATTGCATGTTTTAAAAAAATTTTTAAAGAATTTGGTATTGGAGCATTTAAGATTTTTTTAAAAAGATTTTATTTATTTTTAGAGAGAGAGAAAGGGAAGGAGAAAAACATGGAGAGAAACATCTGTCAGTTGCCTCTCCCATGACCCCAACCGAGAACCTAGTCTACAACCCAGGCATGTGCTCTGATCGGGAATGGAACCAGCACCTTTTGGTTTGCAGGGCAACACCCAACTCACTGAGCCACACTGGTCAGGGCTATTTTTAAAATTCTTGTGGCACACTGGTTTGCCGCAGCACAATGGCTAAAATCACTCGTTCTGAAAAACAGAACAGAGACCTGCAAAATACAAAACATGAAGTAGTATACCCTAACAGTAGGAACATCAATAATACCAGCGCAAATTAACTGTAGAGAAAATGTTACAGTTTACCATTCAGCCATTAAGACACTAAAAGACAGAAATCTTGAGAAACAAAACCAGATGTGGGTGCCGACACAGGTGTGGTTCTCAGACTACGCCAGTCCTATGATGTCCCAATCAAACCACTTCATTACACGCAGCATATCTATTTCCATAAAATTGTAAGTGGAGGCAGACTTGATTATCTTTACTCTTACAATAATATTAGGAATAAAACCCAATTGCTAAGGTAGAATAGGGTTAGGAATGTTTTTTTCCCTTTTGTTCACAATCAGTGAAATAATACTCGGAAATAATTCCAAGAAATGAACCAGCAAGTACATGCAGTATTGAAAAATTATAATGTAGACAAAAGTGCGCTCAGCATCGCTGTGGGACACAGAAGAAAGATAAGACAGATTTAACCTTGGGCAGTTTATAATCCAGTTCTAGAGATAAAATTGAGCAATCAAGCCATTAAGCAGGAGTATGTACTTGAGCCGGATCTAAAGAATTAGACAGAAGAATGATTTCCAAAGAGGATATAGGTTAGATGATCCCCCAGGGCTCAGAAAGAAAATTTCAAACAAAAACAAAAACTCACCTTTAAGTTATAGTTTAATTTTTATCATGTTTATGTTAGAATAGTTAATATATTATGAATAACTATATATCTACTAGGGATAGCTTAACAATTTTTTCAAATGATAAGAACATAATCAACATAGAGGATTAAGAGCTGAAACTTTTCTTCTAACCAGTTTAGAACTTCTACTTCCACCCCTTCAAACCAAAGGCAAAGTGAGGGCTCCTGGCCTGTGGAAGCATCAAATTAGCTCAGCTTTGTCACATTTTAACTGCTCTCTATCACTCTGGAGATGAAGTCTGACTTTGAAAAGAAGCATCCTTTACATCAAGTGTTTCCTCACTGGAAATAAAATGGTTGTCATTTTAACAATGAAAAATTTGGAGGATAAAAGTTTATAAAAAGCTTAATAAATAATTTTCTGTTAATTTAATGATCAAATTTTGTAGAAGAGACTGCTAAAGTTGCATATGTTAGTATCAATAAACTATGACAAATCAAGGAAAAAGAAAGAGAACATGACATATAACCCCCCAACCCAACACAGCAGTGACTGTATAGAGAAGAAACTTAGCTGATGCTGAAGAAATGACACAACAGTAACACTGCCAAGGAGATAAGCACCGAGCATCTGGAGGCACCTGCCTAACTCCAATAAAGAATGGAATGAGTGTAGCAGGAGACAGTGAAAGCAGTCTCTTAACTGAGCTAGGTGCTGTATTTTATTTCTTACAACATGATGAGCTGTAATGTGTTCAATTTTACAGATGGAGACATTGAAATACAGAGAAATTGAGTAATGTGATGAAAGGTACAGTCCTAAGAGACAACAAAATTAGATTTAAATAATGATAGTAAGTGGCATCACAGGTTTATTGTGATGCTGTCAGCTCACTACCTCTTCCAAAACGCTCGGTAGGTCAGGTTCAGCACAGTGATGATGGTGGGGGCCTTTGGGGGGCACAAGAAAAAGAAAGGTAGATGGAATAAACAAACAGAGCTCCTGATCTAGAGCAACCATTTCCAACTGGTGTGCCACAGGCATTTGTAAATGTGCAATACCTGACTGTTTAGTCAGGGGCACTGATGTCTTTTCTCTCTGACTGTCTGATAAAAAAATGACAACAGGCAATAAATACAATAGCAGCCTGGTGTGAATGAATAAAAATTACTCCTATTTTTTTTTCAGATCGACAAAACATATATTTTTTGGAGTGCCACAGAATTTTAGCAATTAGTTTATGTGTGCCATGAGATGGAAACGGTTGAAAATCACTCCTCTAGAATTATTTGTTTGACAGATA